CGCTCGGCTACCGTGACCGGCCAGTGTATAAGAATAATATATAAGAATTCAGTTCGTACCTCACAGGAAACAGATCCGAACCCACGATCCCGGCTTCTGAGCGAGCGAAGACAGTACATGCCTTAGGCCGCTCGGCTACCGTGCCCGGCAGTGTATAAGAATAATATATAAGAATTCAGTTCGTACCTCACAGGAAACAGATCCGAACCCACGATCCCGGCTTCCAAGCGAGCGAAGACAGTACATGCCTTAGGCCGCTCGGCTACCGTGACCGGCCAGTGATCATTATGGTTAAGGTAAAGTTACCCCCGTGTTTAATTAGTTAAAGATCATGCCATGTAAACGCATGAGGGAGTGGAAGTACAGCTCCATCATTATTGACATCGGAACTAGAAGCAGGTGAATGGTCAGGTTCACGCCCCGGCCGCTTCACATCCTGGGACGCTAAGTTTGAAGCAACTTCTTCAGTAAGAAGTGGAATTTATGAAATATACCTCCACTTGTTCATGTCTCTTCACATTCTAGGACCAGGCCACATTGTACTGTCCCCTCTGTGCGTAACTGTACACGGAGTTTTGATTGATAATAGGATTTATTGAACCGTTACAGATCATAACTACAAGTAGCTATAGTGCTATCGCTAATTCACACGTTCTGCTCTTCGCTACAGCACACTGCCATTTCTTCACCAGTCTTTGCCTGGTAAAGACCTCCAACGCGTAGCTTCCTCAACTTCCGTGTTCAGATCCTTACTGGCCGGCGACTGTCTCACTACTAGCTAAATTCTAGACTTGTTCTGATTAACACACCTCGGCGCAGACCACACAGAAAACACCTCTCCCAACAAACCTTCTGTTGTTACGTCACGTAGGTGTCACATGGACCGTGTAGAGAACACCACTTCCCAGTTAGTTATTTGGTGAGTGTTAGAAATCTGTTCCGGCCATTAACTTGTAACGGCCATTGTTTACAAAATCATTACTCAACAACGGATGTACATGCTACAATATTTCTTACAGGGGACATTGTTAGAAGGCAATGGCCGCAACATTCTCCACCGGCGTAGGAATACCGGAAATATGTTGAAAGTTGAGGGGTCGGCCCCTTCCAAAACGGAAGAAAAACTTATTAGCGGTGTTAGCGGAAGAAGAGCCGGATATGTGGGAGCACCGGTCACTCCAGGGCTTATGGCCCACCGTGGAAAAGAGAGAGAAAGAAACCTTTGGTTGATGGTGATACTTCGGGATCCACTGGCACATTAACAGTGAGCCGCTAGGGACGAGCGGCCTTAAGGAGGGAGACGTGGGAGCGCTCGAAGAATGGACATCGCGAAGAAAAATGAACAACTTGTAGGAAGACGTTAAAAACACAGTCCCCGGAAAGGAATGAAAGGTTTTACACCGTTAGACTGTCTGGGACGAACAGACTTAAGGAGGGAGCATTGTGGCGTATTTACTCCATAGGAAACTGCTGAGCCATAGAAACAGCCGTTGGTAAGTAATACACGCACTCAACAACAGAACAATGGGGTTATGTAATCCGTTTCTAAGCAACGGCTCGGTAAACACACTTCTGCGTATCGGACAGTGCTATGCAACGCTCTGACGTCATCAACCATACGGACTGTATCTTCCGTGGGGTTTGTGCTGAGTGCTTATAGGAAAAGTAAATTTAGAAGCTAACAATAGTTGAGAGTGTAAGGACGAGAATGGAGCATGTCCTTAGTGAACTGTGAAGATTAGTTGAATACAGATTAGGACAGAGGAGTACAAAGTGATTGAAAACACTAAGACTTCATAGTGATTTGAAGTGATAGTTTCTGTGTTGAGATCCGTTGCCAGAAAACGACTAGTGGAAATTGAAAATCCTAATGCTTGTTCAACGGTAAAATGTAAATTGTGTAAATCATCGATAACACTGTATTAATTGTAATTAAGAGTGATTGTAAGCGAAGTGCCAATAAATCCAATCATCTGAAACATAACTCGTTAATTTTGTCACGCGTACTCCCCTACATGTGACAATATAATCTGCTAACTTTCCAATGAACGATAAATTTATTTTTACTTATTCTGTGCAAATTTAGAGACTTCATGTTCTTGAGGTTCATTTAATGGAGACATTAATTTCAGTTGAATATTCTCTTCTGATACGTGACATCGTGCAGTCACGTAGGATAGGAATGGGTCTGTATATTTATTGACCGCCTCTGTTGTCCAGTGGATAGAGTTCCTGGCTACAGCTCCAGTCGTCCCGGGTTCGATTCCCGGCGCTACCAGATTTCCTGTAAAGTAGTGGGTCTGGAACGGGGTCCACTCAGCCTCATGAAGATAACTGAGGAGCTATTTCAAGGAAATAGCGGCTCCGGTCTAGAAAACCAAAATTAACGGCCGTGGGGTTCGTTGCGCTGACCACACGACACCCTCTATCCGCTAAAGTTGGCACTAACTTCGGCGACAAGTGGCGGTCGCTCGGTCGATATAATTCGCTTGCGGACTAAAGCCAAGTTTTTCTGTACATTTATTTCTTCATTTACACCAGACCTACTTGAATTATATATGAATGCTTGAAGAAAATTATGGGCCTATTTCTTTGAGACATTCGAGCTGTTTGTTTGTTTTGTATTTCTATTGCGTTCATCTCTTGTAGGAACAGCCATCAGAGTGCAGATCTGTATGTGAATTATTTTCTTTCCCAGGAAATTCGTGGATGGGGCCTTACTGGCGACGTACTACAGCGCTCTCTGCGTGTATGTTGTCTTCGTGGCGTCATCCATTAAACAGGTAAGCTGCATCGTCTGCAGACGTAGAAATTTGTATTTCTCAGCCCCAATTTCAATGTAAAATCTACAGTGATGCTGTAATTCACGATTTATGCTGTCAGAAAGAAATGAAATAATAATTTTTATTGTTTTATTTACCGTCCACCATGTAACAATATCAAGATTTAAAATTAAATTATTTTTAAAATCCATCACTGCACTAAATGTTTCATCCTACTTGGCCATCACCAGGTTCGTTGAAATTCGTAGGGAACTGTGTGCCTTCCGCGCTACAACGATCCGTGGTTTTCGCATGTATAATACAACAAACAACCTCCGTGGTCTGTAGTCCGCAAGCGAACTATACCGATCGAACGACCGCCGCTTGTTAGTGCCAACTTTTGCATATAGAGGGTGTCACGTGGTCAGGGCAACGGAACCCCACGTCCGGTAATCTCGGTTTTCTAGACCGGATCCGCTGTTTCCTTGAAATAGCTCCTTAATTATCCTCACGAGGCTGAGTGGACCCCGTTTCAGACCCACAACTTCTAAAGAAATCTTGTAGCACCGGGAATCGAACCCGGAACCTCTGATCTGTAATTCTAACCATGCGACTCGAATTTTGTTGACGTCATGACTTTATGAAAACTCTAGCTCTTATGGAACCTTGAAGTTCATCACCGACAGGCCTGGAAATAGGGGTAGGCGCGGGTAGAAAATATATTCCAGTAGTATAAAGGATTATTAACGCCGTCCAGTCTGATATATAAATGTTTTGTTCTTTTTTAATCTTTCATCCTTTACATGTTTCGGTCGTAGCGACCATCTTCAGAAGAACATACCAATATATAAAGAAACTACTATTAAAATGTAATTGGTCATTATCAATATATAAATACACTACTATTACAATGACATGATAATAAAATATTACCCTTTAACAATTACAAAGATGTAAGATTTGAGGCTTTCACGGCGGTGACTATGAAGAAAGCAGTCTTCTGGGATTTGGCACCGTGTATATGTGGTGTTAACCGACGTTTCGGAGGAACGTATCGCCTCCATCTTCAGGGTAGAAGAAAAAATATAAGAAATCTGTCTGACAAAGTCTGCTTTTACCGGTTCTAAAGGTCTCCTCGCTTGCAGATTTCTTATATTTTTTCTTCTACCCTGAAGATGGAGGCGATACGTTCCTCCGAAACGTCGGTTAACACCACATATACACGGTGCCAAATCCCAGAAGACTGCTTTCTTCAATTACAAATATGTTTATGAATTTATTAAAAATATTTAAAAATTATTGTAATAAGTCTATTTACAAGTATTGTTTAAAAATTTTTGTTAAAATCTAGAAACAATTTGGTTCGTGACCAGGATGAAGCAAGTCATATTACAGTAGGTTCATAATAGTGACGCTTCTGCCTAAGCCGCTGTAGATGTGTTCTCTTTCGAGTGGCGGGTGGGCTAAACCAGACATCGGGGAAACCCCACTGATATTTCAGAGGTCGTGGATCACGTGAGGCCGAAAACTTCTGACATGGAACACGAAGCGATTTACTGAGTGGCTTGACGTCTGTAGTTTCCCTACATGGCGCGACTGGAGTTAATGTGTTTCTTAACACGTCTTCCTTGGCCATAATTGGAAGTCTTGAATGTACCATTCTTAAGTTCTTCTGAGCGAAGTAATCTTTGTAAAGGGATGGCTCGGGATCATAAGCATAGTAACAAGGGTTAACAAAGTTCTTGCATTGTTACCATTGGGATTGTATCTCTATAGAGGGCCGCGCCATAGCTCAAGCGGTTAGTCGCTGGCTTCCCATCGCGGCGGCCTGGGTTCGATACCGGGTCTGATCAAGTGGGATTTGTGGTGCACAAAGTGGAGATGGGGCGGGTTTTCTCCGAGTACTTCGGTTTACCCTACCAATCTTCATTCCACCAAATTCTCCATCATCATAATCACCCGGGGCAGGCTACAATAGGCCAATTAATGGCCGCCGTGCCGAGTGGACCCAGTTGGACTCCACCCACCCACTAAGCGAATTAAAGAAAATGATAGTGAATAAGAAGCGAAAACAAGCGACGTGTAACAGGGTTTAGGAGCACACATATATATTGTCTTAGGTTGTTGTACAGTTTGGTTGTGGGTGATGTAGCCCAAGATTCAGAAGTATATGCGGTCTCTGTTTTCAGGGCATACGGATCTGTATATACAACATTCTGCTTTGAAAAGGAGTAGGGTTATGGAGATGCATTCCTTGGCCCTTATTATTATTATTATTATTATTGGAGGGGGTGGGTTTCCCCATGCACCGCGACTAATAGTCTATTGTACGTCCCCCTTTGACATTCTACCAGTCGCCATACCCTATCGGTACTGCTGCGTGCTATCAGCTCCGTTCAGCCAACGAGGTCGGCCCTCGGTAGCTCGATAATTCCCCCATCTACCAGAGGCATTGGAAACTACTTGGGCGGGAAACTCGCCTAAATTTGCTCAGAGGTCTTCTAGGGACACGGGACCCACGGCTTAAAGTCCCTCCCGGAGGACTTGTTCCCTGAATTTTTCCCCCCTTAAAAATTCCACGACCTCCGCCGGGTTTGAACCCGCGTACCTTGAGTTATGAGGTGGGAATGTTACCCCTAGACTACGGAGGCCGCTTTCCTTGGCCATTAAAAAAGGCACGTCTGTATGCGGCACCAATCTTCACTCTATCCCCACTCCACAGTTGCTTTAAAAAAAAAAGTCCCACACGGCAACTCACCAACCTACGCAATTCTATCATGAAACTGAGGCAGCATATACCTGTGAAATGCTGACAATATCGCCCAGAATCTCATGGTGTAACAACATGAGCCCAGAATTCACTTCAGCTAAAATTTATATGTTGTTCAACATTTATTCTCCGGCTACATAAAATGCAAATTTCGGAGATCACTAGCGTGAGATTAAAAGATAAAATCATTAACTTAAATTTTTTAAATTAACCATACGTTATTAAACCAAAAATGGGAATCTCATTATTGATGAAAATCATCAAACAAAGCTGTAAAATATGGGATTAAGAACAAACGCCAATTAAACACTACACTATGCCCGTAGTCTCTTAGAGTAATTTTTTGGCTGCGAATTTCTATCCAAGCATTTGTCTATGCAGCCGATCACGGTGGCCGCGCGGTCTAAGGCATGAACCATCTTTGTTCGCTCGAACACTGAGATCGTGGCTTTGAATCCCACTAGAGGAATGGATGTCTGTGTGTAGGTAGCGGCTGATCCCCCGTACAAAGAGTCCTACCGACTGTATGTACTATATTAAGTAACTGAAAAAGCGGCCAAGGCCCACAAGGGTTGCAGGGTCCTAGACATATAGACGTGTCTATGTATGTTTGTGACCATGTAATTTATTCTTATACCTAGTTTTTCCCACCCCTGATCAACTCTATGACGTGGCACGCTAATGACGTCATTCTCATTCACAACTAGCGTAGTACGTTTTGCTGCAGTGACAAGTTCCCTGTGTACATACAAAGTAGTTTTATTCCCACCTGCAGAATATTGAGGAAATGAGCAGGAAATTGAAGAAGGTCACGTATCTCTGTTCTAAAACACCTGTGAATCAATATATTATGAGAAAAGGAACAGGATATTATTTTGTGCCCATTACTCTGACCTAGTGCGATACCAGAAAACTTTAGCAAGAAATGTATTAATACAACACACACAACAGTTGAATCTCTGTTCGAATATTATCGATTTAAAAAGAAAATGGTTCGTCACATAAAAATTATTTACAAAAAATATATATATTTCATTTGAATCCGAAGCTTTTATTTTTTATTGACTTACATTTTTTCGAAAAAATAAAAAATAAGCTTCTCTTGCTGTATGTGTGACAGTGCCTCGTCTCCTAAAAAATTTTATATGCCTGTTCGAGAGGGGCGGCCTTAAGGAGGGAGCGGTGCCCTTCTCGCGGGCGATCACAGATGCCACAGGCATGCCCCTCGAAGAAAAATAAATGACAGGACTCCTCTATGCTGCTTGGGACGAGGATTCTTCAGAAGGGAACACTGTTCCATGACTCTTTATAGAGGAACAGTGGAGTTGAAACAGAGGGCTCTTGCTAAGAAATGGCTCAGTAAACACTTTCCGGCGGCAATGTAATGTATTTAATTTGTAGTCAAAGGAAATTAGGCAATTATTTCTTCCCAGAACTTCTTGTATGGTATGTAGTGGATATTTAACGAGATATGAAGAAAAGTACCTGCTGACAAAGGAGCGGTACGGCTCTAGTTTTTGCCATAACAAATTTGTAGCTGAAATGAGGAAGCATTAATTTCAGTGGTTACTGAACAGGCTGAAATAGCAATAGCGTTCTATAGCACCCGCGGTCGCATGACTATGGAAACATCTGGCGGAAAAGAATGGGAACAACTTGAAATCACTTAACCCAGCTGATTCAAGTTGTATAATTGGATAACTTAACTCTCCCAACTTGTGTCGGAATATAAAATTAATTGCAATATATGAGTTCAAAAGTACAAAAGACTTAATTGTTAAAAAGGACTGCATTAGAAACCAACCACTTTAATAATGTCATGATCACTTTTTACAAACTCCTTTACAATTCACCATCCATCTACCATCCTGCAACTTATCGCTCTATGGTCTAGCTACCGGCAACGCCGTAATTACCCCCACCCTCAAATACCAGAAAGAAGGGTACTGAGAAATTATGCGTACGTATATCAAGCACGTTAGCGTAAGGGTAACCCTCTATGCTGGATGTACTCGAATCAAATTTCGGTCGGCACATCAGATGTCCCGACTGACGTCGTGGATTTACTCAGTCCTTCCGTGGAAATACTCGGATCGTTCCACGTCATCATTTTTCTGTTGTATTAACAGTTCTCGATTCCGAAGCGACGGTCAATGTGCTTACTGTAAAAAGCACGGAGCTTATTTCGTTAGTAAGCTTGCACGTTCATGGCCTTTGGATTCACTACGAAGCAATATTTTGTATCCTATGCCTAAAACATATAATTAGAATGATCAAGTCAAGGAGGATGATGTGGGAAGGGCATGTAGCACGAATGGGGAAGACGAGGAATGCGTATAGGATATTGCTGGGAAAGACAGAAGGAAAGAGATCATTGGGAAGACCAAGGCGTAGGTAGCTGGACAATATTAGAATAGATCTTAGAGAGATAGGATGGGATAGTATGGATTGGATTTATCTGGCTTAGGATAGGGACCAGTGGAGGGCTCTTGTGAACACGGTAATGAACTTTCGGGTTCCATAAAATGCTGGGAAATTCTTGAGTAGCTGCAGAATTGGCGGCTCCTCCAGAAGGGCTCAGCTCCATGAGTAAGTATGCCTAAAACATACACGAGTGGCACCGACACGTAGTGCCCTAGACCTTTACGTTATCATCAGGAAGATGCTAGTTTCTTCTGTATATAGTCTGAGTTACTGACAATTACGTTATTCTTTTAAGACTGATTTTTTTCTAAATAATATTGTGACGGAATAGTACATTACTAGACAACGGCTCGCTAAAAGCGCGTATCGTCGTAGCAACGAAACGCTTGTATAAATCAAAGCGTTGCCACGGGGTTGACATACGTTTCGTGGCAACGGATGGAACAAAAAATAACAGATTCGTCAGACAGACGTCTTTCAAGGCAGTAGTAGTAGAAACGAGAAGTAAGAAATAATTTGGAGTAATTCTTCGTTAGTAATTCGTCACAGTGGAAGTTACTCGTAGTCAAACGTAGAGAGTCATTCATTGTGAGCTGATATGATTGGTTGTAATTGTAAAGAAGTGCCAACAAACTCAATCATCAATTCCGGAACCATTATTATTAGTCACGCTAATCCCTTACACGTGACAATATATAAAGATTTAATTCTTACCTCACAGGAAACATATTGCGTCTCCATAAAGAAGCCCAACTGGCTATTGCTGGTTAGATTAGCAGTCGGCGTTTACTGGGAGAACCATATTCTGTTGGCATAATGCAGAGTTTCAGTGTGTTAAAGCAGGTGGTACATATTGCAACCATTGACCTATAAACAGGTTAAACTACTGATAAAATATTCCAAATTTATGATGATAACGCAAATCAGCATATCAGGAATTTACTTTCAAAAGGCGGCCTTCTCAAACTGTGTTGTGCCCCAAAATATACTGTGGCATGAAGACCCGTTGCTAGGCAACGACCGCGAGATAAAAAAATAAAACATCAGTTAATGTGTAACGGCTTCGCAGACAAGAATATTTGCACGGAAAAAATCGGAGCATCAAGAAAGGAACGGTGTTTTCTGTGCGGTCCGTGCCGATATATTATAAGCAACGTTAATTTCTAGGAGAGAAAAAATATCTTACTTATGAATCTCCAGGAGACTGAGGCTAGACACGATTATGCTGGTGAAAGCCAACGGCAATTTAATCGACAACAGAATAGAGTTGGAGCAATGAGTGAGTTGTGAGGCAGTCGACAGCCGGAAAGAATATGAGCACGGAAGCAGAGGACATTGTTGAGATCCGTCATCAGGCAACGACTGGTGGAGACTCAGCAAACTGAGAAGATTATATGTGTGCTGTGGTTACACTGAACTTTGGAGTGTGTAACTCAGTGAGGCTTTCGTAGTTATTTGTAGTTAAATTCTGTAAGTGTTCGATAAATCCAATTACCCTTCCAAACCCTGTCTATACTCACACTCATTAAACTGACAGTCATCTTGTACTCCACAGGTGGGCGACTACTACATGGACCACACGGATGTACTGGATATAAGAATGTACATCCCCATGTTACTAGTTTTTCTGATACCTATCGGTTTGATCAGGAATCTCAAGTACCTGGTTCCATTCTCAGCGCTGGCGAATATATTTATCATCATCAGCTTTGTCATCACCCTCTACTACATATTCAAAGACAGTTTAGACATCGGTGATCTGGATCATATCGCCAAAGTCGAGCAACTGCCCCTCTTCTTCGCTACAGTCATCTTTGCCATGGAGGGCATAGGAGTGGTAAGTGGTGGGGCGTGCTCGAGGTCACGAAGTCCACTCTTTCCTTCCGCTTCCGGTAGAGAGGGCGGAAAGCCGATCACAGTGGACGCGCGGTCTAAAGCATGAACCGTTTTCGTTCACTCAAACCCTGGGATTGTGGGTTCGAATCCCACTTAAGGCATGGATGTGTGCGCGTTTATTCTGTGTGTAGGTAGAGGCTTTGTGACTGGCTGATCCCTCGTTCAAGGAGTCCTACAGATTATGTACAGGGTTATTCATAAGTGAGTGGTATATTTTGAAAATTTACAATAAATAAACTACGCAAAGGATACCAAATTTTATTAGACTGAAATGGAGATAAACTCACCAAGTTTATTTTACATAGTTCACAGATGCTCAAATGTGTCCAGCTTTGCTGATACGGTAGACATCTATGCCATAATCCATTTCGTCCCACACCCGTGTCAGCATATCACGGTTGGTCAGAGCCACAGCAGAGGTGATACGGTTGCGAAGATCCCTGAGATTAGCAGGCAATTGACGCTTTAAAAGAGACTTGGAGAGATTCCTTCTCTATCGGCGTAAGAATTACAATGATCCGATGTATAGTTTATTTGTTATGAATTTCTAAAATGTTTCACGGACTTATGAATAACCCTGTATATGTTAAGAAACTGAAAAAGCAGCCAAGGACAGCAAGGGCCGTAGAACGATAGGTAGGTAGATAGATAGAGAGCGGAAAGTGATCCTAACCTAAAATTCTAAGAACGTGTAAGTTGCCCTTGTGCAAAATCTGACAGACATGAAGAGAGAGGAAATAGGTAAAAGGTAAAGTAGTCCCTGTGTTTAATTACTTAAGCACTACGCCCTGAAGACGTGTAGCTGAGTGGACGCATGGGTCCATGTTTTCTTTACCTCGGCACAAGTTGGAGGTAAGCGGTCAGAGATAAGCCGTGAAAATATAAACATATGACTAGGGTAGGGTGGGGTGAATCTGGAGTTAGGCAGATATATATGAAGAAAAGGAAATGCATATTTACTTACTCATGGAGCAGAGCCCTTCTTGAGGAGCCGCCAATTCTACAGCTACTCAAGAATTTCCCAACATTTTATGGAACACGAAGGTTCATCACCGTGTTCACAAAAGCCCTCCACTGGTTCCTATCCTGAGCCAGATCTATCCAATCCATATCATCCCATCCTATCTCTCTAAGATTCATTCTAATATTGTCCACCCACCTACGCCTTGGTCTTCCTTGTGGTCTCTTTCTTTCTGGCTTTCCCACCAATATCCTATACGCATTCCTCGTCTCCCCCATTCGTGCTACATGACCTGCCCACCTCATCCTCCTTGACTTGATCATTCTGAGTATACTTGGAGAAGAGTACAAGTTATGAAGCTCCTCGTTATGCAGTTTTCTCCAACCTCCTGTCACTTCATCTCTCTTTGGTCCAAATAGAAAAGGAAATGCATACACATCTAAAACAAGAGAGTGAGAGCTAAATATAATTTTGGATAGACATAAACATGTAAAGCTATATACTTCATAGGTGTAAATAGATAAATATTTTTAGATAGAGAGAGATGGATAGATAGATAGATAGATAGACAGACAGATAGACAAAAGAAGAGGGAGGGAGACAGAGATGAAAGAGATTAGTCAGAGATGTAGACGGAAGAATAAGTGAATGTATAAATATAGATATATGTCGGTAGGTGCTAAGGCTGATAGATGAAATGCATACCATCTATACAGCAGACACGAATAAAATTAAGTATAGTTAGTTAGTTATTGGAGAGGGTGGGTTTCCTAATGTACTGAGACCTGTATTGGTCCATGCTTCCCTCTATGATTTCTACCAGTCTCTATATCCTACCGGTACTGGTGCTTACCACCAGTCCCGCCCAGCCAGCGAGACCGGCTCTACTAGCTGAGAGGTATCTATAATGCTTACCCCATCTACCAGAGTTATTAGAGAATGCTGTTGGGCGGGAAACGTCCGTTAATTTGGCTCAGTGACCTCCTTTGGAGATATGAGGTTCTTTTACGTGCCGTAAAGCTACGACACGGGACCCACGGCTTAAAGTCCCTCCCGGAGGACTTGTTCCCTGAATTTTTCCGCCCTTAAAAATTCGACGACCTCCGCCGGGTATTTGAACCCGCGTACTACGGATCATGAGGTGGGAACGTTACCTCAATTAAGTATAAGTAGACGATAATTAACTGAGGACCTTTAGACAAGTTAAACTTGTTTAAGCAAAATAGTGTGTCGCTTCCATTCCCCCAGAGCGCAGTTCATACAAAGATCATATTCTTGCATGTTCTACTGAAATAAATGAGGAGCCGGGATAGCTCAGTCAGAGCGAGCGTCCGGAGAGGTTCTGGGAACCACCCAGTCTTCTATCGAATGGGAACCGGGGGCTCTTTCCCCAATGGATAAGCGGCCGGTGCTTCAAGCTGTACACTAAACAACTAGTGCCGAGGTCAAGAAAACTTCCACTACCCCATACGTCTTCATGGCAGTGATTAATTAGTTAAGCACAGGGTCATGAGACACTATGCTTCAAGCCGGAAGGTCACGGGGTTCGATTCCCTATGAGATCACTGGAATTTTCAATTGACCTAATCCTACCAGCCGCACAATATCCCTGGGGTCGACTCAGCCTCTAACAGAAATGAGTACCAGGAATCTTCCTGGGGGTTAATGTGTGGCCGGCGCGTAAGGCTGACAAATTCACCGCCACCTGTGAGTCGATTTTCTAGAGAATGTGGCAGCCTCGAAGTCTCACAACTCTAAGGGCCTCCATGGTCTCGTTACCAAGGAAAATTTTACATTTATTGAAATAAATGTAAAACAGTGAAAGAAGTTCCAACACTCCGCTAAAAGATTCATGAATAGAAAGTCAGTTGTGGTCTATAAATTTCAAAGCCAGCTCATATTTCCAAACACTGGTGATGAAATCGATGTTAACTGTTTTTATTATCATTTAAGTTAATTCTAAACCTTGCGATGTGATTAGAGAGAGCTGACTTCACAAATTTCGTCATAAAATTCTCAACCTTGAAAACGGAGCTGGTTAGCACAGAAATGTCTCTATGGATGGCTTAAATGATATAAAGATAGACATATTTGTCGCTGCTCTGCTGTTAGTCCACAAGATACTGAAACGTTTCCTTCAAATACGTTACTATCGAAAGCTTAACAAGAATGTCGAATATGATTCAAGATTATTTTATCATCTCCTTCACTAAACTTAGTAATTATAACATATTTATTAAGTAAATTAAAAGCGGTCTCCGTAGTCTAGAGGTAACGTTCCCACCTCATGACTCGTGGTACGCGGGTTCAAAAACCCGGCGGAGGTCGTGGAATTTTTAAGGGCGGAAAAATTCAGGGAACAAGACCTGCGGGGGGGGGGGACTTTAAGCCGTGGGTCCCGTGTCGTAGCTTTACGGCACGTAAAAGAACCTCATATCTCCAAAGGAGGTCACTGAGCCAAATTCAGGACATTTCCCGCCCAACAGTAGTCTCTAACGCCTCCAATAGATGGGGGAAGCATTATGGACACCGCCAAGCCAGTAGAGGCGAACTCGCTGGCTCGGTCGGGACTGATGGTAAGCACCAATATCGGTAGGGTAAAGAGACTGGTAGAATATCATAGAGGGAAGCACAATGGACCAATACCGGTCTAAGTGCATGGGGAAACCCACCCTCTCTAATAACTAACTAAGTATATTAATGATCAGCCAATTAATAAAGAAGATAAAGAACGTGTATTTTTTGTAGGTAATGCCTCTGGAGAATTCGATGAAAAATCCTAACCATTTTATCGGCAAGATAGGAATCCTCAATATCGCCATGTTCATCGTGGTGTTGCTGTACGGTGTCATCGGTTTGTTTGGATACCTCAAGTATGGAGCCATCGTGAAAGGGAGCGTCACTTTGAATCTGCCGGATTCAGAAATGTAAGTTTTTCCTGTGGATTTATGTGTGTGTGAAACTTGGTCTCTGCTATTAAGGGAGGAACATAGACTGAGGGTGTTTGAGAACAGAGTGTTGAGGGAAATTTTGGATCGAAGGGCTACGAAGTGGCAGGATACTAAAGCAACAACCTACGGTCGAACAACATAGTTTCTTTGTTGCGTTGGCTGTGGCTTCTGATGATGGCCAGTAATGGCCGAAACATATAAAAACAAACGTTTTTCTCACCTCTATAACACTAGTTACACTTAATGGATTTCTACCACTTATTTATGACCAAAATGAATATTTCAAGAAGTTCTTCTAAACCAGCATTTTCCATGAAATTGAGAACAGCTGACGAGACAGTACGTACGTGTATTTACCTTATATTCAGACTGCCATAACTCCTTGAAACCTTCAAAATATGACAGAAGAATACAGGATATATTCCTTTATTCACACAATCATTTGATTATCGTGCCCGTAATCATGAATCACCCTGTATATAACAAGAATTTATAACGCGATTAATCCATAATAGGCATAGAATACTTCATGTGTATATTGTAATATATCTTATCCTAAGTTAAACATTTATTTAAAAAGAAATTGCTACATTTGCGAATAAGTTTCATGTACGTGTTACTGTGAAATTTTATGAAATAATATATTTTTATCAAGATATTTTCTCAGTCTTCCATCATTACATTCATCCCTTATATATTGTAACGTGTTTCGTTACTGAAGACGCCGCAGAGATCGTTAATTGGTTTATTCAACAATCTACAAGTAACGGCTACAATTACTTATCACACAGTTGCGGGTTTCCACACTTTACAAACCCTAGAACAAAATCTCTTAACACTCTCTTCGAGAGTCTTCACGTACTAATAATGCGGGAGCTATACAAGTCTCCCCGAATTACACACTCCAGATATGACTGGTTATCACCGGTTATCGCACACGCGGCTGTTATGTTTCAACTGACTGTGAATAGCCTTCGCTGCTCCTTATGTAGCCTCGATCGGACAGTCGTCGCCTGGTGCCTTGTTGCTAGCCACGCTGTCCGGAGTTGTTGACGGCTGCCTAGTAACCGCGATATCCCTCGGTGACGTCACCGCGTTGACTTGCGTTGCCTAGCGACCAGGATGCTAGGACTCGGCTAACATCGGCTCGCTTCGGCTTCGCTCGGCGCATCACGGCTGGCGGAGGGTGGAGGGGGAGGGGCGTCATTCAGAGCTCAACATGTCACTATATGTATATGTACTTCTGTACATAAGAACTCCTGTATTTTGTATGTATATATCTTATGTCTAAAATATATCTGAGGGTATCTTACGGTAGAAAAGTCCTGTCTATTCTACGAAATTTCCAGTTCGGATATTTTTGTGTCCATCTTATTTTTCAAGCAGAATCTAGCAACTATTTAATGACATCAGAATCTAACGATATGGCATCCTCAATGATGCTGACGGAAGTGTATGTATGTATGTATGTATGTTGAGGCCGCGCCATAGCTCAAGCGGTTAGTCGCTGGCTTCCCACCGCGGCGGCCCGGGTTCGATCCTGCTTCTTGTCAAGTGGGATATGTGGTGGACAAAGTGGCGCTGGGGCAGGTTTTCTCCAAGTACTTCGGTTTCCCCTGCCAATCTTCATTCCACCAATTGCTCCACAATCACCCTCATCTATCATCTGGGCCTGGTACAATAGGCCAGAAGTGGCAGCAGTACAAGAGACTTAGTCCCACCCCACTAGCAATAAAAAAAATATATGTATGTATGTTGTAGACCTGCCCAAGTGGTGAAGGTTCTCTACGCCGTGGCCATCTTGTTTTCTTACGGACTGCAGTTCTACATACCGACTTCCATAATATGGCCAAGCATTGAAGAGAAGGTCCCTAAAGGAATGGAGAACATCGCACAAAATTCCTTCCGGATTGGAACCATCGTCTGCACAGGTTATAACAGCAATGGATATGACTGCTGTTCTATTCTGTGACGTGACTTCATGTAGTTCGACAGACAAACGTTTCGGAGGAATATATTTCTTCCATCTTTAGGGTAGAAGAAAATGTTATCCTGAAGATGAAGACGGAATCGTAAAGAAAAATCTTCAACCATAATGATGGAAGGATGACGTTCCTCCGAAGACCTAACATATATATACCAAACTACATGGCGTCACGTCTCAGGCGATAATACTAATAATGACAATGACATTATGACAAAAACATGCATGATCAATTACTTATTTAGGGAGAAATTGAATATGTTGGTACCAGCTCTTTTTTCATTCCAGTGGTTGTCGCCATTGCAGTGCCAAACCTGGGACCCATCATCTCCTTGGTAGGGGCAGTTTGTTTCTCCACTCTCGGACTCTTCTGTCCTGCCGTCATAGAAACCATCACCTACTGGGAGGATCATCTGGGCTGGCGTTTTTGGAAGAACGTCATTATAGCACTTTTCGCAATATTAGCCCTAGTTACGGGTAGTTATGCCAGCGTCCTTGAGATAATACAGGAATATACAACGACCAAATAGTATTACTTCTCTTTAAGATACTACGTGGATTTACTGCAAGTATTTTTATGTACATTTAGTGCGCTTTGCGCATGCGCGGGTCCAGCTGGCCTAGCACTGCTTCTTTACAATAAAAATACCATTACCCTGACCGTCAGTGCTGTAATGGCAGCGGATTTATACGAAAGAAAGTCAGTAAATAGGTCACAAATGGACATTAAACGTAAAATATATGATATTCGAAACTGGCAAAAAACATTTATTCCTCGACATATCATCCACCAACACTAATACACTTGCCCCATCGCTTTACCACTGAGTCGAGACCTGCAGCATAGAAGTCTTTTGATTATCTCAGCCACTTCCGCGCCTCCTTTTCACTTCGTCATGAGCGAAACGTTTTCCACCCAGTTGTGAACAGCGTTACGTGACAAACGCTTCCATCCGTGAACAGGAAATATTTAATCATGAATATCCTTTGCAATGAGTCCTTTAGCCCCCCCCAAAAAACACAACAGACGGTTGCTCTTCGGTAATACACTCAAGAATGGTCGCCATTTTGATTAAAGAAACCAGCCTCTGAATACGCGAATGCGCATCTGCTACCTAGACTGTTATGAAGCTGAACTGTGCTGCTATCTAGTGACACATAGGAACACTATTACGTCCATTGTGACGTGTTTACTGACTCTCCCGCGTTTACTCTACTCAGGGAAAGTACCGGCTTTCAAGGGTTTCCATATGGCACAGTTCATAATAGAAAGAATAACATTACTCGTATCTTCTTAACGGGAACTGCAGTTCTCTGTCAGCGGTGGCCAAAACCGAGCCGCTGCTCTCATTCGACGCAACATTTTCAGACAGGTTCGCCATATCATTCGTTGCATGGAACAAAACTTTTTTGTAGTCTGTGTTTCTTCGTAAATTTACATGATAAATATAATAGATGTAACCGCGCCATAGCTCAAGCGGTTAGTCTTTCGCTTCCCACCGCGGCGGCCCGGGTTCGATTCCGGGTCTGATCAAGTGGGATTTGTGGTGGACAAAGTGGCGCTGGGGCAGGTTTTCTCCGAGTACTTCGGTTTCCCCTGCCAATCTTCATTCCACCAATTGCTCCACAATCACCCTCACCTATCATCTGGGGCTGGCACAATAGGCCAGAAGTGGCCGCAGTACAAGGGACTTAGTCCCACCCCACTAGCAATAATAAAAATAGTCGGCACTGTACACTTTGACCTTTCCGGCATGGGTGACCCTCCTGGTAGTTAAACTACCGCTGGCATAGCTCTCTTGGTTACAGAGTCACGCAAGCCCCACCACCACGACAAGGTGGAGACACCTTTGGGGGAATCTATTACCGTATTTACGCATGTATAGGCCGCGTGCGTGTATAGGCCGCAGCACAATTTTCAGACAGAAAATATAGAAAAAACAATTTTCTTGGAATATTATTTCAGGAGTAGAACACTCTGTATTACTAATTATGAATATATTTTTTTAAAATGAAGTGTGATTTCGAATATAAGCCGCACCCCAGTTTTCCTCTTGAATTTTTGGCAAAAAATGTGCGGCCTATACATGCGTAAATAAGGTATTTACTTTTTTAAATATTTGATTAAACACAATGTGCACTATGATTTAGAAAAATATCTCACGAAACCCATAAAGCTCAAATAGTTTTTTTGTAGGATGTAGTGGTTGAGCATGTGGTATAGTAAAGGTAAAGTTGTCTCTGTGTTTAACCAATTAAGAACTACGCGATGGAGGCGTATGGGGGAGTGGAAGTACAGATCCACATTTTCTTGACCTCGGAACTAGTTGAAGGTGAGTGGTCAGCTCCATGGTACCCATTGGATAGGAGGCTGCGTGGGCCCCAGAGCCGGTCTGGAGAACGTGGAGTAGAGAGAAAGCTTGCCCCTACGTTGACTCGAACTCCGACCCCTCGGTCGTCCAGCTCGTAGCCAGTCGCTATACCGACTGCGCTATCCCGGCTCGTAGCGGTTAAGAAAATGGGTGGGGGAAATTTTTTCATTCTTTTGTTGAATTAATAGTGTCTCTCTGGTCACAACGTTGTAAATGAAGACTTGTATTTAGTGAGACTCAAAGTTTTACCTGTAATAGACAACCTATGTTATCACTGTTCATTTGTTAATTCTGTACATGATTTAGTTCAGTATCTGTATATTGTATTATATAGACTATAGACCACATTTAATGTGTTAAGTATTCGGGTGGATAAAGCAAATGTGTACATTTATATAAATTAAATAATATAAGAAATCTGACAGTGGTTTATAAGACCTGAAAATATGTACAAGAATTTTCTTATAGTTCGTTGTTATTCATATGTAAATACATGTTGAACTAATTACGTGTTCTTTATATAATAAAAACTACTTGAAGTACAACACAGTTGATCACTTCCATGATATTTCAATGGCTTCCCTTCGTCTAGGTGAGTGGTAAAAGCAAATAACTACTGTAATTAAACGAATATGAAGTTTCGTACTGAGGGAATTGCATTCCAAGTTATTGCAATAATTTAAGATTGATTCATATCCATAAATTATAACCATTACTGAAAATTGCACTTCATCAATTTTTTTTTTCAAAAATTGCTTTTCTTACACAACTTTTATACCACGTAATATTATGGCAGATTTTCTCGAAGTGAGAACTGTGGAGCCAGAGAAAGGCCGTTACTAGCCAACGGCTCTGAAATATCAATTATTTCTAGGCAACGGCCGCGAAACAGACAACGGAACGACGTACGTTGCTAGGCAGCAGATTCTTAATAAGCAAGAATAGACGGCCGCTGCTAAGGAACAGCTCGGTAAACACATTCCCGGGAAACGGATACGCATGCAACTGAGGTATGGTGTTTTCTGCGCGCGCCGTGCCGAGGAGTTATAAGGAAGATAGTTGGCGCAACCAAGTCAGTTGTGTACGGGAGTCTCAAGAAAAGAGTCTGTGACAGTCTGAGAAGAGAAGACTAGAAGGTTTGTGTGAAATGGTCTCCAGCCTGGGAACCAGTCACTTTAAAGCAAGTCTGTGAAAAGAGGCAGTTGGATGGGAGCTGCCGTTCAAACAAGACTTGAGCCCGGAAGCAATGGATTAGACATTGTTAGAAGCCGCTATCGGGCAACTACTAGTGAAGATATTGCGGGCTGGAAAACAGTTGTAAGGTGTGGAAATCAGCGATGGCACTATAATTAAATGTAGTTCTGTGTCGTATGTTAAAGCGGTCAATAAATCCAATATCAAATCCAAACCCCGTCGAGAGTCACTCTAACACGCGATAATATATAGACGTACAATATTAATTTGAAGTAGACATAAAATATATCAGAGTTTATGAAAATGGACGCAGAAGGTACCTACGAAACTTTGTAAACCACATACCAGAAAGGTGTCACAACCCAGAAAGGTCAATTATTGAAATCCTCAGTAAGTTGGGAAGCTCGAATCTCACATGTATCTCCATCAAACACAACACAACGCGTTCACCACACAACACGTTCACCTCCCAACAAGATGGCTCGTGACATGTTTGGAAGAGGCTCAGTTCGAGTCTCATTCGGGACACTTGACTATCCTGACGAAAAGGGTAATGCCAGCAGACGTTTCGGATGAATATCACCTCCATGTTACTCTTCGCCCACTGAAGACAGAGGCGACATATTCCTCCGAAACGTCGGTCTCTCCGTACTGTACGTCGTCAAAGAAAAAGAAGACGTACTTCTCATATTCACTGCTCTGAATTCTGGTTAAAGTCTGAATATTACTTCGTAATAGGCTATGCCAGATTACTTGTAAACGATTTTCAGTTTATCATTTATTAATCATTTGACGCTGTATACTGAGCTACCGATAGCGTCGTCAAATAAATTATAATTAACAAAATAGACGCATAGTAATAAATAATATATTCTCTTTTATTTTTACATTTCAATTATAGTGTAATTTCAACAGTTGATTGAATATTAGAAACCAGGGTATAACATATTTCGAATAATCCGAAGTAGTGAACGATTTCGATTAATCTAAATATGTAATTCCATAAAGAAAGCAGTCTTCTGGGATTTGGCACCGTGTATATGTGGTGTTAACCGACGTTTCGGAGGAACGTATCGCCTCCATCTTCAGGGTAGAAGGAAACATTTTTTCTNAAATATTACACAATAATTTACGAAAACTCCGCTATTTTGTGTTCTGATAGGTACACGTGACTATAGTAAACGTTCCGATAGGTCTATGTATGTCAAGGTTACTCCAAATTGGGAGTCCCCCTTACCGCTCTTCTTACATGGAGGTAATATAGGCCAATTCAGTGCATTATGATGTCAGTAAAACGCGATTTGTAAGATTCTAGCATATACGCCACTCAGCATTTCCTGATTCGTGAATATAAAACACTTAAACACTTTAAATAGTATTATCTGTGTCACCACAAAAACTTACACCGAGCTCTGTAATTAGCCAGCTAATATTCGCAGTTCCGATATGTCTGTTTTAGTATTATTTTCCCAATTATGGTCACATTTCTCTGGTTATCTCTCCCGAAGTGATATGCTAATCAAATATATTGCTTAGTTAAAACCAATTCAACAAGCGTAAATTTAATCAACTATAATACAATATATAAAATTACAAAATTAAAAAATATATTTAATTATGAGGGCTAGATGATTACTCCTGCGTTTAACTAAAGAAGTCAATAAACTCCTCTACTGACGCACTTCGAAATAACTGAATGATTGAGCACAAACACAAACACAAACACAATTCCTACACTAAAGAAATGGGTACAGTGTGGCCCAACAATTTTTAAACTTTGCAGCACCACCAATGTAATTTCGCTGGGAATATTGTGTTCTGTTTGAATTTATTCTCATTTATGTATGAATAATTTAAACATTTAAAACACAACGATCTCAATATATACCACCTCATTGTGTATTACAAAACTTTACATTTTTTCATCGTAGTATTTACAGAATACACGATTCTACAATAAACGCGGGGCATTTGACTGAACAGCATTCAGCGATTTTTTTTTGCCATGGTAACACAGTTAATGTTCCGTGACATAGGAACTGAATTTTTGCGTATTATTTAGAAAAACTTAAAGTAAATATTGCTATGTTTCCCAAGTTCCACGCTGTTACTGCATGCTTAATATGAAATTTTCTAAAGTTATATTAATTAAATTAAATCCTTTTATGGTAAAATCCACCAAATTTTATTTAAAAAGTATAGCAATTTGTCATTATTTCAGAAAATAAAGATTTCTCGACCCTTACCTCAAACCACTGCTTCTAACCTTTCTGTCTCCACTTTCATACTGTTCAGAAGGACAAATGGGCGAAGCCTGGGTACCTTCTAACAGAATGATGCTCACTTCCCACACGAAATAAAATATCACTCACTTCTCTCACAACTTATCATTTGCACCTATTAGTCTATTATTCTTGCTTACTTTTCGTTCTTCTTTAGGCATCGATGCATTAAAGGAGAAAATGTTGCACCTTTTAGTCCCTAGATCAGAGGTCCTTAGTCTTTCTTCGATTTGAATGCATGAAGCAGGAATATCAGCTTTTCTTGCTACATACATGCAAATTTTACTACCTATATAAAGGCTACGGAAAGAGGTGCCACCAGTGGTAGGGATAACAGCGTTCGAAGCTTACCACACTCGGCCTGCTGTTGTATTTTATTCAGACACCCTCTAGTCTAAAGATCTCTTTTCGGACTATGAGACGTGTCAATTGGTTGAATTACTAACATTTCAGTAACAATCCCTGTCCCCATAACCAGGGCCTGATGTCTTTGAAATGTCAGTAATCAATTGACACGGTTGATAGCTCGAGGAGATATCATTAACTCTAACCGCTGCGAAATTTAATGTCTTACACTCTAATAGCCTACATCAACCAACCCAATTCCATGGTCTGTAGAGAACGTGGTGACGTGATTATCACTAACAATATTCATGTAGATGGCATGCGCAGACGACTGGAGGGGGGGATATAGAGGGGTAAACGTAATAGTTATAGCAGGATATGGGAGATTTATCCATACGGCTCCTTTCCGTGGCCTGACTGTAAACAATTGAAACGGGTTGAGCCCTACTTGAGTGTGTGTCAGCCTTAGTTATCCGCGTTTTCGCATATCCGCAGTTTCATCTCAATATCATGAGGAGTAACAGTACCTTATTTCAGCCATTGTAGTAGCTGCTGAGCATGCGCAGCAAGTTGCGCGCGCAGTTAGCCTGACCCTCCCCACCATTTTGAACCAACCATGTCGTTTTCTAATCGTTCAGTGCGTTTTGAATTTTGCGCATTTTCGATATACGAAGCAACTTTCAGGAACGCGAAGCCTGGATATGAGTCACCTGCACACTGTTTATGTACGTATCACGGTTATTATAAAAAAATACCTTACGGAAATGTTTCCTAACCTGTGGTTCTGTAACAAAGTATGAGAAACATTTTTCAGTGGTTTTGCGTCCAAATTCAATTTGAAACAAACAATATTCAAAGTCTGCAATGTAATAATTCATTTCCTTCATCAGTAATCTGTCAGACGACAGGTCCACAGTCTCTTCCAAAACAGTTCCTCCACTTAATGCGATCTAGAGCTTTCTCCTTCAAATAAAAATATCCTCTTCTGTTCCCAAGGTCATCCAGCATCTTCTTACGTTTATTTCCTCGTCTTCTGGATCTCGCATATATGGTGTCTCTGTTTTTGGAAAGAGACTATCCAGGGAAAGTGATAATGTGGTAGTTTTTCCATTTGCTTTCCACATCGCAGTACAACAGCCGTTCAAACCACTCTGGTCACGCCTGTTGCTATACGAACTTGAGCATCATTTGCTCTGTGCTTCAAGTCGCTGCTGATGACGCTGCTTCCGGCATCAGTTTTTGGTTTTTGGTGTCTCTCTTCGTCTGATGCCTACCCTTTGACCTGTCCAACAAGGGAGGCCCTGCCAGTAGCTACGCTACCGCTGGTAGAGCTCTCAGGGTCCTTGGCATACCCTTTCTATTGTGATATTTTAGTTGTGGTTGTCCGCCCAAAAATGAAAGTGGCATGTTTCTCTGAAACTTTGGTATCCTTCTACCAGGCTATACTGTCTCCATCTTCAGAGTGGTCCACCCAGAAAATGAATGCTGCAATTTCCTCTGAAATGGCGGAAAATTTATATCAAACTGTATAATCTCTAATTTCTTCTTACTGAAAACCGTCACAACATAACAATCAATATTACGTATAAGTAGCCCTAGGAGATAATTTTGTTACACTTTTCGGCCTTCAAAAGGCCATCATCAGGCATTGTATGCACTTTGAAGTTTAGTACTGTATACTATATTTGACATGTAATTCAATAACGAAAATTTTAATTTATTTGCCTGATGATGATCTTTAGAAGGCCGAAACATGTAACAAGAGCTTCTCCTAGAGCTACTTACAATTAATATTGATTGCTGTGTTGTAACGGTTTTTAGTAAGATATAATATATGATACGAAACAGGATGCATTTATTGAAAACTGTACAATCTCTATTATGAGGGTATTTCACCCTAAAAGCAGAGCCAGCGGAGAGTTCTGAAACGGTAACTTTTTACCAGACTGTACGGTCTCCATCTTCAGAGTGGTCCCCATCATGCTGGATGCAGGAAATTCTTTCCATACGTTCATAATACTCTATTACATTACTCTATTACTCTATTCTACACGGTGTCACTACCCAGAAGTCAGAAAGCTGCAATTAATTTCCTTTTGGTACGTTTAGTTTCTATATTAGTGGTACTGGCTAGGTTAGAAGGCAGATCATTTGAATTCCAGGTAAGAGTAACCACCACGCTGGTTTAATACTAAGCAATAGACAGGTTCCTCTGTAGACAGAAAATCAGAAAATTGCTGTAGGAAATAAATATTATAAAAACCACGACAGGATGTATTTTTTTATATCTCAACTCCCAAATACAAAGATGTGGAAAACTTCAGAATCAATACCAACTTAATTTCAAACAACTCTGTAAACAGTTACAAATATTTAAAAAAATGTTTACAAAATAATTTGAGGTCAAATACAGCCAAATGATATTCGTGTGTTCCATGAGGCTTTATTACAAATCGTTCACAATTGCTAGACCGAAGAAATTACCGTGTTTTATCAGGGATAGAAATGGGGGTAGATGCGGGTAGAAGCCATCTATCTAGCCCAAACAATTCACCTAGCCCGGATCGAACTACTTCTGAACTGGAGGGTCCACCTAGTTCTGAACTGGAGCGCTCATTTAATTCTAAACTGAAGCATCCGACTAGTTCCGAAAGGTATCTTCTATCTAGTTCTGAATTGGAGCATCTGCCTAGTTTTGAACTGGAGCATCCACCTAGTTCTGAACTGGAGAGTCTACCTAGTTCTGAACTGAAGAATCTAAACTGTTCTGAACAGGAGCATGTAACTAGTTCTGAATAGAAGCATCTACCTAGTTCTGAATAGGAGCATGTAACTAGTTCTGAACTGTAGCATCCACCTAGTTCTGAACTTCAGCGCCCATCTCATCCTGAACTGAAGCATTCAACTATATATCTGAAAGGTGCAGTCTTCCTAATTATGAAGGTGAACACATGTAGTTCCTAACTGAAGCATTCACCTAGTTTTGGGTTTCGGGTTTTGCTTAATTCTGAAAAGGTGGGTCTGTCCAATTCTCTTTTGCGGAATCTACCTCGTTCTGAGAAGCCAGCTATATCCCTGACATTAACAACANTAGTTCTGAACAGGAACATCTACCTAGTTCTGAACAGGAACATCTACCTAGTTCTGAACAGGAGCAACTACCTAGTTCTGAACAGGAGCATGTAACTAGTTCTGAACTGTAGCATCCACCTAATTCTGAACTTCAGCGCCCATCTAATCCTGAACTGAAGCATTCAACTATATATCTGAAAGGTGCAGTCTTCCTAATTATGAAGGTGAAAACACATGTAGTTCCTAACTGAAGCATTCACCTAGTTTTGGGTTTGAGGTTGTGCTTAATTCTGAAAAGGTGGGTCTGTCCAATTCTCTTTTGCGGAATCTACCTCGTTCTGAGAAGTCAGCTCTATCCCTGACATTAACAACACATAATCGACGTGTCTTGAAGTCTTGTGGGCGAAAATTGATCAACATTGCCAACGTGACACATAAATCAGTGTGAGTGAGAACACCAAAAGATTTCTGAACTGTGTAAAGTTACGTCACATGAACACGTTACTGAGAGTGACAGTCTTATTTCTGTCACCAGATACGCCTAGCGTAACGTTTCTATTTGCTTCATCTTGTTCAAACCTCGACTGTGATTTACCTGGGAATCTGTTAACTCTCCTGTTCTTAATACCGATCTGCTCATTATGTATGATATCACTTATGTCTGATATCGATAGCTTATCCTTCATATCGTCGGATTTATGCAGGTACGCTTTGTTGTCGTAAGTGACCACAGCCCTNGCCGGTCACGGTAGCCGAACGGTCTAAGGCGTGCACTGTCTTCGCTCGCTCGGAAGCCGGGATCGTGGGTTCGGATCCCACTCAGGGCATGGATGTTTGTGTGCGTTTTTCTGTGTTTGTGTACAGGTAGAGGCCTTGCGACGAGCTGATCACCGACCGAATGTTTAAGATCTAGTAAACCGAAGTGAAACGAGAGTTTCATGGAGGTAGGCCTAGGCCTAAATTGGGGCTGTAGCGCCACAGGAGAAAAAAAAAGTATGTTTTTTTGTTTTTCTTGATTCTTGTAAATAAACGAACACAAGCACGTCCCATTTTAGAAATTTATATGTTTAGATTTGCACTGTGTGCCTTGATTATTCTATGTACTTTGTACCGAAGTGAAACGAGAGTTTCTAGTCTTTCCTTGTCCGTATCAGTGTAAGTTCCACTGCCACCGGGGGAATACCCAATCGAAGTAAAATACTACTACTACTACTACTACTAATAATAATAATAATAATAATAATAATTCAATTCAATTCGTATTTATTTACGTGCAAACCTAACAGCACAGAGACCAATTACAAAGTTAGCACTAGTATATAGAAACACACAAAATAACTAAAACAAAATGCAAAATAAGACAGTCTATATAATGATAGTGATTAATAATAATTCCAAGAAAAATTAAAGTTAGCATTAGCAGGTGAGAAAAATAAAATAAGTAAATTTCCAAAGGTTATGTTGTTATGTGGCGAGAAAGGGCAATACACGTACATACACATATATAAATTAATAATCCAATTAATTTAATTCGTGTTTATTTACGTGCAAACTTAACAGCACAGAGGCCAATTACAAAGTTAGCACGAACAGAGAGAAATACACAAAAATAACTAAAAAAAACAAAATACAAAATATGATAGTCTATATTAATTAATAATAATAATAATAATAAAATAGAAACTAGTTTTTCATGATTTTAGAGAAGCAAATAAAAAAAAGATAAAGCTATCCCTGTAATAGGCCTTGGATGCCCACAGGTTTGTGAGACGTCGAGGCTTCCACATTTCCTTAATAATCGGTTCACACGTGGTGGTGCCAGCCTTACACACCGGTCGCTCTACATCCGCAGAAGATTCCTGGTACCCATTTCTGTTAGAGGCTGAGTCGACCCCTTGGCCATAGTGCGGCTAGAAGGGTTCGGTACATTGAAAAAAAATCCACCTCATCGGGACACGATCCCGTGACCTTCCGGCTTGTAGCATAGTGCCTCAAGCAACTACGCTACCGCGCGAGGTTTTCCTGCCCTAGTCAAGCTATGACTATCCGAGAAATACAAAGTTTCTGGGGCTGCCAATCTCGTGTATCACACTGAACGAATTTACATACTCTAGAGGTAAAGAAAGAACCCGTGTTACTTTTGGAAACTTACCTCTTCAGCCCATAAAAGGGGGAAGAGCCCCTCGGACACGTTATGTAGGACGCTCATTTCTTCCATCTGAGTAAGAAACATATTCAGCTGAATCCTCTTGGATCCTCGTAGGACGACACCAGTTTGCTGAATATTAGAATGGTCAGTAACATTAGAAATAGATGCGAGGAAACCAAAATTCGTGATGCTTTGGCAAACATTTTCCGGGAAGATGGATTGGATTGGTCCAATTTCTTGGCCCCCAAGATCACCTGACATAACCCCACTGGACTTTTTCCACTGGGGATATGTCAAAGACAGTGTTTATAAGAGGCAGGTGAGAGACATCGACCAATTAAAAACCAGAGTAAGAGAGGCAATAACCACTGTGGATGTCGGTATGCTTGCCCGAACCTGGCAAGAAATCGAATATCGTCTTGATATTTTAAGTACAACAAATGGAGCACATGTACAAATTTATTAACAATAGACACAAAATTTTTGAGTTTCTCAATTCAACAATGTAACCAGTTTATTTCTATCTTCGTTATTTTCCGAATTATTAAAGATCAAAATGTGTCAGAGCTTTTGTAGAGACTATGTATTTTTACGATCAGGTTTAAATTTGCTACAGAGAAAATATTCCTTTCCTATTTCCATCACTTCTAAAGAAGCTGTGAGTTACAGCCAACGTCTGCTAAAAGGAAGGAAGTGGGTGCCTCTGTAACCGGGGAAATCCTTGTTTCTCCACACTCGATCATACTTTCAGTTCGAATGTCACTTTGGAAGGGAAAGAGCTTTCGGATCTGTGGATTTCACATAAAATTTGTGCTACTGTCTTCTAGTTATGGTATCATGAAGTATGATAGGCTATTACCAACATTCTGCACCCATTTTTAGGGAAGAAGTTTATTCGTCAAAGCTGAGGATGAAAGATATATTATTATCAAAGTTCCAGAGGAAATACATTCATTCATCAGTAATCTGTCAGACGACAGGTCCACAGTCTCTTCCAAAACAGTTCCTCCATTTAATGCGATCTAGAGCTTTCTCCTTCAAATAAAAATATCCTCTTCTGTCCCCAAGGTCATCCAGCATCTTCTTACGTCTTCTTCCTCGTCTTCTGGGCACTTTATCCGCCTCTCCGGTTTGTTTTGTCTCCAGAGGAAACATCTCGCATACATGGTATCTCTGTTTTTGGAAAAAGACTATCCAGGAAAAGTGATAATTTGGTAGTTTTTCCATTTGCTTTCCACATCGCAGTACAACAGCCGTTCAAACCGCTCTGGTCACGCCTGTTGCTATACGAACTTGAACCATCTCGAGCATCATTTGCTCTGTGCTTCAAGTCGCTGCTGATGACTCTGCTTCCGGCATCAGGAAATTATTGTCTCAATATTCAGAATTGAAATCAGTTATTCTATGCTCTATAAGTATTGTTATCAAAATTTATATTGTCTCAAGCTTCAGGGTAGAAATCTATTTTTCAGTTTTGATGAGAGAGAGTGTATGATTATGAAAAATTAGAAAGAACTCAAGAGTTTCAATTGTCAGCAGAGACGTGTAGAATTTTACAGTAAAGTCTGAACAGGTTATCTACCAGTAATGATCTAGACTTCTATCCTGGAGATGCTGATACAAATATCGTCTGTGATCTATGATCTCCTGGCTAAGGTCTTTTGTAGTTTGCCAAGATTATACCTATTTTAGGCCAAAACCTATTAATTTCAGACCCTTTTAAATTCATGATTAATATATTATCCTACCATTCGATGTTACATATTCCGCGAAACTGAATAGGTCGTAAAATAGTCCACTAAACCAATAGACTGAAGACAGAGACACGAATGTCCTTCGTTTTATTAGTAAACACACACCAGGTTACACGGTGTCATAAGCCAGAAAATGGTAACACGACGGGTCTAAAACGTTAAATCTCATTTAACACACACTTCTTCTGGGCGCAAGGATATGGACTCTACATGTTGTGCTGTCCTGTGTAGGTAAGGACATTGCTATGGGCCAGTCCTCTGTTTAGAGTCCTGCCATTCTTTTGCGTTATTTATTATTTCAGAATTACGGGTAGGTCTAATTCTTAATCAAATAGATTACAGACACTAAGGGCTGGAACACACACAGCGACATCGGTCGTACGGTTCATGTCGCATCAAGTGGTAGAATATAAAGTGTAGTCTTAGCTTTCATACGTTACGACACGCGACATCTACCGTACGACAGTCGGAGAGCAAAGAAATGTATTTTGTCGCTCTTGTGTGAAAAGGAGGTCGTACGGCAAAAATTCGTACGACATTTTTTCGTACGACAGATGTCGTTGTGTGTGTTCCTAGCATAAGAAGTGAAACTAATGAACATATTTTAGCAGCTCTGTTCTGTAGCATTGTGTACGAGAGCCAGGCTTACTTGTACAGAAGTCTGTGTACTCGTACTTACTGGTTCAATGTAAATGAAGGTCTCATGCTTCTCCCTGTCTGGATTCAAACCCTGGACGTAGGACTGGTATTCCGTGGAAGCGTTGTAAAAATGAGGGGAGGATACGATCACAGACACACCTAAGGGCAGAGAGAGAGAGCGAGACAGAGGGGTCAGTTAGAATCTTCAAACGTTCTTTCGCACAAAGTGAACGCGTGTAGGAGAGGATGTGTACTTCCATTTGTTTGGGTATTTCATCTCCGAACGTACGAAACGAATTTCGATGAAATTTGGCACTGCGGGTCTCCGGTCTGAATAAAAAGCAATTTCAGGAAGATAAATTTTGTTCGTTTCTAACTAAAATTCCTACCGCCCTTGCTTTATATGAATATAAATTGTAATGTAATGAATTTTTGTTGTAAAAAAACATGTGTAGTGTAGATTTAAATATATATTTAACGGACCATTGTCTGGGGGCAGGCGCTGGCGTAGTTAGTTGAGGCACTATGCTACAAACCGGAAGGTCGCGTGTTCGAATCCCGATGAGGTGAACTTTTCAGTTTACCTAGTTCTTCCAGCCGCACTATGGCCCCGAGGTCGGCTAAGCCTCTAACAGAAATGAGTATCAGAAATCTTCCTGGGGGTAAAGTGCAGCTGGGCATTAGGCTGGCTATTATTTTTTATTGCTAGTGAGGTGGGACTGAGCCCCTTGTACTGCGGCCACTTCTGGCCTATTGTACCAGCCCCAGATGATAGGTGAGGGTGATTGTGGAGCAATGGTGGAATGAAGAGTGGCAGGGGAAACCGAAGTACTCGGAGAAAACCTGCCCCAGCGCCACTTTGTCCACCACAAATCCCACTTGACCAGACCCGGGATCGAACCCTGGCTGCCGCGGTGAGAAGCCAGCGACTAACCGCTTGAGCTATGGCGCGGCCACTATTAGGCTGGCTAACTTAACGCCATCTGTGAGCCGACAGTCTAAAGAAAATGTGGAAGCCTCGACGTCTCACAGCCCTATGGCCTTCACGGCCTGTTACGGGAATAGCTTTACCTTTAATTGCCTGAGTCATATAAACTAATGCATAATAATAACATAATAAATAGGCTTTGATATTTATTTAATAACCTACAAGATCTGCTAGCGGAGCCGGGATAGCCCAGTTGGTATAGCGAAGGGCTAGAGGCTGGATGGTAACAGTTCGATTCCTGGCGGGGACAAGAAATTCTTCTTTACTCCATAGCTTCCAGACCGTCTCTGGTGCCTACACAGTCTCCTACACTACAGGCACCGGGAGCGAACCCACCGGGGGGAAAACGACGGTTGTGTGGAGCTGACCGCTTACTTGCATCTACTGCCAAGGTAAAAAATTGTGGAACTATACCTCCACTCCCCATGTATCTTCATGGTATCGTGTTTAATTAAGCACAAGGACAACTTTACATTTTACGAGACTTGATAGACCGGTATATACCACGCTGAGTGTCCGTCTCGAAACGTTTCTGACTCAAATAAGCCAGTCCAAAGCTAGCTAAGTTTATCACTGACAGCATAGAAGTCTGAGCGAGTTGACGCAGCGGTATAGTTCTATACTCATGTTAGGGAGCTCAATATTTCGAATCTCGACTAACAAGGGAATGGTCCGATCCGACATGTCGAAACCTACCCTGATTTTTTTTTTCACTGCAAGAGTACACACAACAAAATCCACTGTCAAAAATTTAGCTGCTAATACGCACTGCAATTATTTTTTAAAAATTGCCGAAGTTACTAATTTTTTGTGTACGCGGAGCGGCTTGTACCAGAGGTTTGTACAACCCCAGCTGTGTACTTGTCAGATTACAATGCATTTGTGCCCTGCTGTCACTCTACTAGTGCACCGGAAGCCTAGGTTGTGAGTCAGCTGTCTTGCGTGTTGCGTACTGCTCTGTTCTGCTAGGGGTGAACATTTCTCCAAGGGTCTGGCAGGCTATAATATTGACCATGTTCAGCAATTTTTAAAAAATAATTGCAGTGCGTATTAGCAGCTAAAATTTTGACAGGGGATTTTGTTGTGTGTACTCATACAGTGAAAAAAAAAATCAGGGCAGGATTCGACATGTCGGATCGGACCATTCCCTTGTAAGACACAGGTCATTTTGAGTACGGCTATTCGTGGCCTCCTCAGTTAAAATAACAGTGTACATGAGTTTCTAACTGAAATGTTAATAGCCGAAATTCTGCCCCTAGGCGATTTTCAGATCAAGAATATTATCTGGGCAATTTTCGACATTAATGATCTCCCCTGGACAGTTGTAGAGGTGAAGAATCTTTACCAATTTGTAGAGCTCTAAACAAGATCTAAAATTTCTGACCAAATTACATTAATAAAATTATTGAGTTTTTGGATTCAACTGAGTAGGCTTTTACTTGAGGACTTAGGTACGAATACAATCCAGCTATAGAGGTTAAGGATCTTACCTTGACAGTTGAAGACGTCAAGGACTCCAGATTTAAGGCATTGTGGCGGTTCGTCTTCTATATGTTCGCAGAAACAAATGTTGGGCGGATAATCTGCTGCAGCCTTCAAGTTGAGGGGGCTTCCAGGGAAGTACATCATCCGTACTCCTCTCCACGTCACATAGGAGTCAAATTCGGCGTACATAGACCTGAAGAAGTAGTAAATATTTGAACATATATCAGAAATAGGTTGGACAGGTATAGCTCTAAGGCTATAGACATATATTATGAAATTGTTCGAATATAAGCCGACGTATCGCCTATCCTGACTGCAACATTTTTTGGTTTTCTTCTGTTACGCCAGGAAATTTCCGGGAAAATATCTTGATTACACCACCACCGTTTCCTTCCAAATCCTTCAACTTCAACCTCAGTTATTACATAGGCTTAGTATATTTAATAACGACACTAATTCACTCACTCACTCACGGAGCTGAGCCCTTCTGGAGGAGCCGCCAATTCAGCAGCTACTCAAGAATTTACCAGCATTTTATGGAACCCGAAAGTTTATTACCGTGTTCACAAGAGCCCTCCACTGGTCCCTAACCTGAGTCAGATCTGTCAAATCCATACCATCCCATCCTATTTCTCTAAGATCCATTCTAATATTGTCCACCCACCTACGCGTTGGCCTTCCCTGTGGTCTCTTTCCTTCTGGCTTTCCCACCAATATCCTATACGCATTCCTCTTCTCCCCCATTCATGCTACATGACCTTCCCACCTAATCCTCCTTGACTTGATCATTCTAATTATACTTGCAGAAGGGTACAAGTTATGAAGCTCCTCATTATGCAGTTTTCTCCAACCTCCTGTCACTTCCTCTCTCTTCGGTCTAAATAATCTCTAGTTTCGTGTTCCCAGTAGCCAGCTGCTAATTGCTATTTGCATTCAGTCGAATACAGTCAACATGGATATCTCAGCGTTTATATCGACTGGCTACGGGCTTGACGGCCGAGGGATCAGAGTTCGAATCCCGATAGGGGCAAGAGTTTTCTCATGTCCACGTCGTTCAGATCGGTTCTGAAGCCTAACCAGCCTCCTATCGAATGGGCTCCTACTCCGGGGGTTAGAGCGGCCGAGAGGTGAAGCTGTCTACTCACATAGCAAGTACAGGCGAGGTCAACAGTACCTGTATCAACATATCTACTCCCCCATAGGCCTTCGTGGGGTAGTGCTTAATTAGTTAAGCACAGGGAGATCTTTGTGCTTTTATCCTACCAGTATTGTCAATATGACACTCTATTCTTATGAGATCTATTTTATTATTATCTTCCCCTCTTTGTCAATGTTTTCTAAGCTGTAAGCCGATTGTGTAGAGATAATGTGGAAGCCTCGACGTCTCACAACCGTATGGGTCTCCACAGCCTGTTATACAGGGATAGTTTTATCTTCTTTATCTTCAAATTTACCAATTTCTCCATCATTTCCTGGCACCTCTCTCAATGCCTGTTGATTCTCCTGCAACTTCAGTAAGTAACCACGAGTATAAAGGTATATTATGAAATGTGACCTAGTACCTGCAGAGGTCAGTCAAGAAGATGACGACCTTGTCGTGGGAAGACTGGAAGGGCGGGAAGATGGTAGAGTCGGTTCCGTCTATACGATTGCAGAACTCTCCATCCCAGTTTGTCAAGTTACTCTGGCCTTTCCAAGCAATTATTCGGCCCAGCTTTCTGTAATCCTCTATTCCGCTATTTACACGGAATTGACCGTCGTTTGAATTGTTCTTCTGCAAAAGCGATACATGTTACACAAACTCTCATATGTTTTTTTTTTCCTTGGCACTACAGCCCCAGTGGGCCTAGGCCTACCTCCATGAACTTCTCCGTTCACTTCGGTTTTTCTAGATCTTACATATACGGTAGGACTCCTTGGGCGAGTGATCAGCTCGTCCCAAAACACAGAAATACGGACACAAACATCCATGCCCTGAGTGGGATTAGAACCCACGATCCCGGTTTCCAAGCGAGCGAAGACAGTGCGTGCCTTAGACCGCTCGGCTACCGTGACAGATCCTGCCAGTCTTCATTCCACCAAATCCTCCATCATCATAATCACCCGGGGCAGGCTACAATAGGTCAATCAGTGACCGCCGTGCCGAGTGGTCCCAGTTGGACTACACCAGCAACTAAGCGAATTTAAAAAAATTAGAAAACGGTAGACTTTCCGTTGCGTAATCATAAAAACAAATGCGCTCATGTAAAAATATTTTGTATATAGAGGAAAACGATATATTTTCATTTTTATTTCGGACTTTCTGCTGAGATTTCAGACTATAGAGATGCAGTTAGATTTAACTTACATGGCGGAAAAAGGCCAACTTGAAGATTCCCGGTTCGTACTCTGCTATTGTAACTGGCAGGCGAGGTTTCAGCATCTCACACGCCATTGAGGCTGTATCAGACATTGCTTTTGCTGTACAATTAACCACAGTTAGTCCGTCCCACAGCAGTTTCTTGACTGTGGCTGTCTGAAAAATATTATTCCACCCAATAAATATTTCCTTGAGAATATCTTCCATTGGCAGCCCGGAACCAATAGTTTTCTTGATCTTCTGAACCGTGCCCTGAGAACAAGAAGCAAGACGAACCATACTTTTTTGTATTACCTCGGTACATTTTACATAACTTACTCAATTCTTGGCCGCGCCATAGCTCAAGCGGTTACTCGCTGGCTTCCCATAGCGGCGGCAGGGTTCGATCTCGGGTCTGGTCAAGTGGGGTTTGTTGTAGACAAAGTGGCGCTGGGGCAGGTTTTCTCCGAGTACTTCAGTTTCCCCTGCCAATCTTCATTCTACCAATTGCTCCACAATCACCCTCACCTATCATCTGGGGCTGGTACAATAGGCCAGAAGTGGCCGCAGTATAAGGGACTTAGTCCCACCCCACTAGCAATAAAAAAAATACCCAGTTCTTTATAAGTCTATATACACATTTTTTGGAATACGGAAAGAAGGAAATGGTGGTTGAAAATATAATAATTAAAACTGGAAATATGAAAGAAAAGGGGGATATTTTTTTTTATTTCATATTGTAATTTTATTGAGTTATACCCCAAGAAAGTATATGCACTTATAATTTGGAAAAAAAAATAATGTAAACTTGGGATAGGACCATTAAGAAATAAGGTGATGATATGATAATCCACTAAAGATATCTCTTTCTGTTTCATTTTCAGAACTTCTCGGTTAGATTATGCTCAGTGAATTAACATCCATCTTGACGGCGTTGGGAAGTGACCACTCAGAGGGCCCCCAAGTTCCAAGCAGCTTCTGCATGCTTCTAATGTATCATCTTGTCATTAAACACATCAAAATCTTACCTCTTATTCTACAGGCCCTAAGATTACTTATATTTAATCTTGAATTACCGTATTTACGCATGTATAGGCCGCACATTTTTTGCCAAAAATTCAAGAGGAAAACTGGGGTGCGGCTTATATTCGAAATATTCGAAATCACACTTCATTTAAAAAAATTATATTCATACTTAGTAATACAGGGTGTTCTACTCCTGAAATAATATTCCAAGAAAATTATTTTTTCTATAATTTCTGTCTGAAAATTGTGCTGCGGCCTATACAGGCACGCGGCCTATACATACGTAAATACGGTAATCATGGAGTTTAAATTCGGCTGTCCCGTCTCAAGTTCACATTTATCATTGGTTTGGCTTCTCTGACATCTGTGTACAAGATTGCAAAGATGAAATCATATACATATTGCATAAGAAAAAGAAAAAAGAAAAGAAGAAAAGGTAAAGCTATCGTTGTAAGAGCCCGCGGAGTCCCATAGGTCATAGACTTCAAGGATCCCCACTCACAGAGGGCGGTGAGATTGTCAGCCTTATACGCCGGCAGCCTTTACCCCCAGGAATATTCCTGGTACTCATTTCTGTTCGAGGCTGAGTCGACCCCAGGGCCATAGTGCGGCTGGAAGGATTAGGTCAATTAAAAAACATCCAATGACCTAATTGTGAGTTGAACTAGCGACCTTCCGGCTTGTAGCATAGTGCCTCAACCAACTACGCTACCGCGTGGCTCAAATTTATATGTATTAAGCTTTATATAAGTTGTTCTTCTGTTCTTTGTTACTTAGAGAAGTCAACTTAAACTCACGTCCTCAACTCACCAAGAGCGCCATGTTAATTACAGTAACTACGTCATCTTCTGAGAGGTTTCCGGAACTTCTTTTGTTGAAATAAAATGTCGAATTCTCTACATAAGAATAAGTACCGTCACCCTCATCTTTAATGTCGAATTTCTCCTTGTACTGACTGAAATATAAAAATAATACGTGACATATAATATAATATAATATAATATAATATAATATAATATAATATAATATAATATAATATAATATAATATAATATAATATAATATAATATAATATAATATAATATAATATAATATAATATAATATAATATAATATAATATAATATAATATAATATAATATAATATAATATAATATAATATAATATAATATAATATAATATAATATAATATAATATAATATAATATAATATAATATAATATAATATAATATAATATAATATAATATAATATAATATAATATAATATAATATAATATAATATAATATAATATAATATAATATAATATAATATAATATAATATAATATAATATAATATAATATAATATAATATAATATAATATAATATAATATAATATAATATAATATAATATAATATAATATAATATAATATAATATAATATAATATAATATAATATAATATAATATAATATAATATAATATAATATAATATAATATAATATAATATAATATAATATAATATAATATAATATAATATAATATAATATAATATAATAAAAAGTAAATCTCTCTTTTAAACAGGCCGTGGAAGCCCATAGGATTTTGAGACGTCGAGGCTCCCTTATTTTTCTACATAATCGGCTCACAGATGGCGCTACAGTTGTCAGCTTTACGAGCCGGCCGGCCGGCCTTTTACCTCCAGGAAGATTCCTGGTGCTTATTTCAGTTAGAGGTTGAGTCGACCCCAGGGCCATAGCGCGGCTGCAAGTATTAGCTAAATTGAAAAATTTAATGACCTCATAGGTAGTGGAACCCGCGACCTTCCGGCTTGCAGTGTAGTGCCTCAATCAACTACGCTACCGCGTGCCCACCATATAATATAATACATTATGTAATGTATATGTTTTGCCAAGTTTTCAAACAGCTGACATTCGAATATTTACTACAGTTCAATTAAGAATATTACATTTCCGTAAAGTAGAGATAAAGTTGTTCCTCTGCTTAACTAATTAAGCTCTACACCATGAAGACGTATGGGGGAGTGGATGTATAGTTCCACATTTACTTGACCTCGGTACTAGCTGGAGGTGAGTGGTCAGCTTCACGCCCAGATAACTTTACCCCTGGGGAAAGAGCCCCCTTTTAACCATTGGATAGGAGGCTGGGTGGGTCTTTGGAGGCGGTCTTGACGACATGAAGGGAAAATTCTTGATCCTACCGGGACTCGAACTCCGACCCCTCGGTCGCCTAGTCCGTAGCCAGTCGCTATACCGACTGTGCTATCCCGGTTCCTAGTTACACTTCTGTATTCTGTATAAAATATAGGTATTAAAATATAAAACTACAAATCTATAATTCGTGATGTTTTACTTGAGCGTTAAACTTGATCATGTATGAGAGGGTAACATAGGGCTTATGGATTACTGAATTTGCTGGGAATGTTTGGACCTATGAAACGATAAGTTCAGGTGGGATGCGAAATTTGTACAGACCTGTACATCGAGCACAAACAAAGAAACTCCGTGGTTTTAGGCCGCAAGCGAACTATACCGACCGAGCGACCCCCTATTGTAGGCGAAGTTAGTGTTCACTTTTGCGGATAGAGGGTGTCGCGTCGTCAGGCCAACGGATCCCCACGGCCAATAATCTCGGTTTTCTAGACCGGAGCCGCCATTTCTTTGAAATAACTCCTCAGTTATCCTCACGAGGCTGAGTGGACTCCGTTCCAGACCCACTGCTTCTCAGAAAAATCTGGTAGCGCCAGGAATCGAACCCGGACCTCTGACCACAGAAATGGGTAAAGATGTTTGGAACTGAAAAGTGATTGTGGTAACGCATTGTGACTTCGTGTCCAGGACAAGCCACTCTGAGGTAAAAAGAACGCGAAGTTGTCCATGTGCTTAATTATTTAAGCACCATGAAATGAAGGCGTATGTGGGAACGGAGGTATAGTTCCACCATCCTTGACCTCGGATATAGATGAAGGTGCACCGTGAGATTCGCGCTCATCCATCGGGAAAGAATTGCCAATACGCGTTGAACGTGAGGCTGGGAGGGCATCATAGCCGGTGTGAACACGGCTGAGAAGAGAAAAGAACTTGTCCCTACCAGGAATCAAACCCCGGCCTCCTGTCCTAAAGGCCCGCCGCTATACCGACTGAGCCATCGCGACTCCACTCTGAAGTAACGTATTAATCTGCCTACTCCGCGGGCTCGACCGAGAACGGGAATTACTGAACTTATTTAATCAATCGAAGCTCGTTACTGACAGCGATAACATCACACGCTGAAGTCGAATCAGGTCACATTTTATGTGTGATTGTCTACCTCGATATGAATATTAAGAAGCTATAATAAACCGTGCATCAATAACAGAGTGGCTTGAACTTGACTTTGTGTTCCCTGTATCATTAAGAGAAATGAAGAGTGTATACACACGAAATGAGGTTTAGTTATCAAGGCTAAGGGTTTCAGTTATTGAGCATATTTAATTTAACATATTAACATTCCTGGACAGGAAAATTTGCACTCTATATCTGATGTTCCTGGCCATACTGTACATTACTAGACACAAAAACATGCACACAAATACGTCTGTGACCTTCTGAACACAGCTGTCGTGGGGGCAAGACGCTGTGTCCTCCCATTAAAATATTAGAGAATGTCGTAGCACTGTTGGTTAGGGCACTATGCTACAAGCCAGAAAGTCGTGTGTTCGATTCCCGATTAAATTATTGGATTTTTCAATTAAACTTTGGGGTCGATTCAGGCTCTAACAAAAATGAGTACCAGGAATCTTTCTGTGGGTAAAGGGCGGCTGGCGCGTAAGGCTGATAACTTCACCATCGTCTGTGAGTCAACTGTCTACAAAGAGTGGAGAGCCTCGACGTCTCATAACCCTATGGGCCTCCATGGCCTGTTACAGGGATAGCATTACCTTTTATTTTTAACTTTATCTATTAAAACACTATACATAATTACTCGAATACACAACTAAGTTACCTTAAGACAATGAAAATTTAATGTATTTCCTGTTCCTAATTAATTAAGCACCTAGCCGTGAAGGTCTATGTGGAAGCTGAAAACACATCACTCCATAATCAAAAAGCAAACATGGATACTATAAAACAAATGAAGACTCATTATCGTCGTCACGTTCCAGATGTTGTTCTCATGAAGGAAAGAATGACGTATGAAATTGACTTGGACTCTGTCTCATGCATGTAATAGAAACGTTCCCACCTCATGACTCAAGGTATGCGGGTTCACACCCGGCGGGGGTCGTGGAATTTTTAAGGGCGGAAAAATTTCAGGGAACAAGTCCTCCGGGAGGGACTTTCAGCCGTGGGTCCCGTGTCGTAGATTTACGGCACGTAAAAGAACCTCATGTCTCTAAGAGGCCTCTCAGCTAAATTAGGCAACAAGTTTCCCGCCCAAGTAGTTTCCAATGCCTCCGGTAGATGGGGAAGCATTAGGTACCACTGCCAGAGGAGGGGCGACCTCTCTGACAGAAAGGGACTAATTATTAGATACCACTGCCAAGTAGATGGTAGAAACCTCGCTGGCAGAAATGGGCTAATAGCGAGCACCAGTATCGGTAGGGTATGGCAACAGTAGAAATTAAAGAGGGACGTACAATAGACTATTAGTCGCGGTGCATGGGGAAACCCACCCCCTCTATACGGAATAACTGAATAACTGAACGATTTCCCTGAGCGTTGTCTTTCCAAAAGAAACATCTTTCGGCTTGGTTCATCCTGGTCCGTCACAGTAGTAATAGTATAAAATGTTATTAACGCCGTCCAGAGTGCTTGATAAATGTTGTGTATTTTAATCTTTCATCTTCCTTTAAAGAGACAGTAAAATATGGTCGCGAGTCCCAAGAGACTCGGACCCGAGAAAGACTGCGCTGGCAAGGGCCGGCAGCATATACAAAAGGCAGACCCGTCCTCTCGTCAGAGAGGGCGCCCAACAAAAACAAGACCGTAAATGCCAAACAGTAATAAATACCTGGTCATGAGCCCCAAATGGGGCTTACCAAGACTTACTGACTGACTGACCGTCAGTCGCAATGTGACTTGGACTTGGTTCTAGATTTTAACAAAAAATTTTTTAAACGATACTTTGTAAATAGACAAATTATAATAATTTATAAATGTTTTAACAAATTCATGCACATCTTAGTAGATGTTAAAGGATATTTTATATATATGACATTGTAATAGTAGTTGCCGGTCACGGTAGACGAGCGGTCTAAGGCATGCACTGTCTTCGCTTGCTTGGAAGCCGGGATCGTGGGTTCGAATCGCACTCAGGGCATGGATGTTTGTGTACGTTTTTCTGTGTTTGTGTACAGGTAGAGGCCTTGCGACGAGCTGATAACCCGCCCAAGGTGTCCTACCGTATGTCTAAGAACTAGAAAAACCGGAAGTGAACGGAGAAGTTCATGGAGGTAGGCCTAGGCCCACTGGGGCTGTAATGCCAAGAGAAAAATATAGTAGTTTCCATATGTATTGATATGTCCTTCTGGAGACGGTCGCCCTGATAGAAACATGTAAAGGATGAAAGATTAAAGAAACACAACATTTATCAATCACACTGGACCGTGCAATTGACCTTTTAAACATCTTTTCGTTTTCGCATCTTTACGCTACATCTCACCTTTCGAAGGAAATATAATGTGACGGACAGATGGACAAATTTATATGAGGTTATTATGGATCCATCGTTGGTTGAAACTTTATGAGAAGAGATAGACAGGAAGATATGACAACGTTGCTATGAAATAAACAATATATGAAAGCGGGCGAACAAGGTATGAAGCTCTTTTTTAGATTTTCTTTTTCAAATGGTTCCAACACGACAGCGGTAGGACTGCAGGAACAAAAGACACGCACTGATAGTCAGATAAAAACGAACACGATGAAGCAAGGACTACATAAATGCGAAGGTTTTGGTACAGGATATAGTGGCGTATAGACATGGTGCTAAGCGGCGACTCTATAAACAGCGACCGTTTCTGGGCAACGGCTAGGCAAACACTTACCTATTACTAGACAGTATATTTTTAATAATGCAAAAGCTGGACTATAACAATGGAAAAGGGCTGTTTTACATGGTCCGTGCCGACATGTAAGTAAGTAAGTAAGTAAAGCTATCCCTGTAAGAGGCCGTGAAGGCCCATAGGGTTGTGAGACGTCGAGGCTCCCACATTATCTAGACAATCGGCTCAAAGATGGCGGTAAGATTGTCAGCCTTACGCGCCGGCCGCGCTTTACTCCCCTGGTACTCATTTCTGTTGGAGGCAGAATCGACCCCAGGGGCTAATGCGGCTGGAAGGATTAGGTCAACTGAAAAAAATCCAATGACCTCATCGGGACTTGAACCCGCGACCTTCCGGCTTGTAGCATAGCCCATATTTGCATCCTGCTGCGTGAGTATAATAATACAAATTCCACCGTCAACACAACTATAATTTATTAACTTATGTTTCACTACATGTTTCGAACCCTATAGGTCATCCTCAGGTGGTGTGTGTAAATTACAACTGAGGATGACCCTATAGGGGTCAAAAAATTTAGTAGAACATAATATATTATAGTTGCATTGACGGTGGAATTTGTATTATATGTTACAAATAAGTCAGCTGTCAGTTGATAGTGAGTTCTGTTTGGGAATCTGTGAAGAGAGGTCTTGAGCCGGAGGCAGAGTAATAACCATTGTTAGAGTCGTTACCAGGAAACGTCTAGTAACAAACTGAGAACACTAGACGTTGTACTGGGGTGAATTGTAAAGTATGGAAATTGCGATAGCATTATAGTCGTTTGTAGTTACGACCTGTAAATGGGACCATAAAAACAAAAATATCACGTGTGATTTTGTATGGGCGTGAAAATTGGTCTTTCGCCACGTGAATATAGGGTGAGAATCTTTAAGATCAAGGTGCTGAGAAATTTATCGGGTCTTACGAGAGAAGAAACAACGACCTCGAAAACATTACGCAGATATAAGCCCTGTACATTCATTCATTCATTATTGGAGGGGGTGGGTTTCCCCATTCACCGTGACCAGTTGTTGATCTATTGTACGTCTCCCTTTGATATTCTACCAGTCGCCATACCCTTCCGATACAGCCAGCGAGTTCGGCTCCTCTACTGGCAGTGGTATCCGATACTTTCCCCATCTACCGGAGGCATTGGAAACTACTTGGGCGGGAAACTTTTTACCTAATTTTGCTCAGAGGTCTCCTAGAGACATGAGGATTTTTACGTGCCGTAAATCTACGACACGGGGACCCACGGCTTAAAGTCCCTTCCGGAGGATTTGTTCTCTGAATTTTTCCGCCCTTAAAAATTCCACGATCTCCGCCGAGTTTGAACCCGCGTATCTTGAGTCATGAGGTTTGTACCTAATATTAATATGGCGATCATATCATAGCACGAATTGTTAACATGAGAAATTAATACATAAATTTAAGAGTAAAACTGTAATGGAAGACACTGTTTGGCAGATGAATGAAAGGTTAAGAGGATAATATTAAAATGAATTTTGGTGAAGAGTGTGTGTCTGCCAACTATACTTAGCTGGATGATAAGAGGATTCTATGACATACTTTTATGACTTTTGGGTTTCTTAAGACGTGCGTGATCTCCTGATTAACTGAGAGACTGCAAAATTGTTCAAGAGAAGAACTCCTCTATCATACAGTCGGTTAAGCATTTATCAAAATGGTGTTCTAATGCAAGGACATTTTTCCATATCAACAGCGCATAAAGCCTCTAAAACTAATCAGTTTTTTCCACAAGTACAATATATTTCCTGCATGTTATACAAAGGTGGCTGGGATTTCCATTGTTACAGCAATCGCTCGGTGCTTTGCTGAAACTGATGCAAAAACTGATTAGGACCAAAGCAAAACCTACCTGCTGCATTGGTTCGAATAATTCCAAGCAAACTCCCTCTTATTTGAGGGATATTTAAATTAAATTTCGAACAAAATATTTCTAGATTTCTATATGATTAAAAACAACGACATGTAGCACGTTGAAAGTCAATTGACGTTTCGGAGGATCATGTCACCATCTCCATTATTTAAGAGTAAGCCAAGCAACTCTCTAGCAGTGTCGCGCCACCGCGGCGGCCCGGGAACTGGTCAAGTGGGATTTGTGGTGGATAAAGTGGTGCTGAGGCAGGTTTTCTCCGAGTACTTCGGTTTCCCTTGCCAATCTTCATTCCACAATTGCTCCACAATCACCCTCACCTATCATCTGGGGCTGGTACAATAGGCCAGAAGTGGCCGCAGTACAAGGGACTTAGTCAGACCCCACTAGCAATAAAAGAAATAGGCTCTAGTATGAAGCAGGAAGCAAAAATATTAACAGGATAGACGGCGTTATATCCCAAAAGATACAACTTTAAGCCCTAAAAATATTATTATAATGGAGGAACAGATGAGCAGGGCACGTGACATGCCCCGGGGGGGGGGAGATATTCATGTGAAATTTTGATAAGGAAAACAAAAGGAAAGAGACCGCTCTGAATAATGTGCTTAGGTGAGAGGAAATATTAAATTGATATTACAGTAGTAGTATGGGAAGATGTGAATTGGATTCATCTGACTCAGGATTAGGAGAAACCGTGGAATCTTGTGATTACATCTGTTAACATTCGTTTTCCATAAAATGCTAGGAATTTTGGAAGCATATGACCAACTCTTAACTTCTGAAGAAGAACTCAATGCATTCCTTTGGAGTTAGCTCAGTGTACGCACTCATATACGTAGGGTCCGAGCTCCTGGACTATGGGGTTGGCTCCGTTTTTGACTTCCTCCGGGTTCGTCACGTTGAATATGTACACTTTGAAGAACAGCGGAACGGGTAGCTTACGCCATCTGTCATAGGCTTCTGTGCCGTTCACCAAGACCACGGCCTGCAGAAAATCAGGCAATTATCTCAAACAGAATGAAACAACATAAACAGGAGGAGTCTTAGAGGTGCCTAAAGTTCTTTAAGTTGAGTATTTAGAGACGGTGTCAGTATCCAAAATATAAAGCGCCGAATTGTGTCATTACTGATGAATTTGGAGCATCTGGTGGAACGAGAATTGGTGGAAAAGCCAGAAGGAAAGAGACCACTGGGAAGACCAAGGCGTAGGTGGGTGGACAATATTAAAATGGATCTTAGAGAGATAGGATGGAATGGTGTGGATTGGATTGATCTGACTCATGATAGGGACCAGTGGAGGGCTCTTGTGAACACGGTAATGAACCTTCGGGTTCCATAAAATGCTGGGAAATTGAGTAGCTGCAGAATTGGCGGTTCCTCCAGAAGGGCTCTCATACATGTTACTCTTAGTGGTATAATAAACTGTAAACCAGCTCGAAATTAATATATTTCAATAAGATAACCTTGAAGAAAAAATGACATTTTAGTATCACGGCTTTTATACTACATGAAAAAATGTCGAAACTTGTAGTGGATTTAAATAAATTATACATATGATAGCTCAGTCGGTACAGCGACAGGCTACGAACTGGAAAGCCGGTGTTCGAATCCCGGCAGGGTCAAGATTTCTTTTCTCTATATCTTCTACAGCTCGGCTCTAGAGCTCTCATGGAACTCGGCTCCATGAGTAAGTAAGTAAGTCAGAGTCTAGAAAGCAAAACTTTGCTTATCACGTGTATCCATGTATGGCTTAAAGTTCGACCTGAAATGGAAGCAGTACGTCCTCCGAAACGTCAGTAAACTTCTACCAAAATACATGGTTTCAAATCCCTGAAGACAGTACTCTTCCTAGTCGTAGCAGTGAGAACCTCGGACTCAACACACGGATTTATTACTAAAAAAATGACAATTCTTAATGTATTTGCGTACCAGCAGGTTCTAAACGGCTCTAACAAAGAGGTATAACAACTCGAGTTACTGGGTTTTGGTTTTCTCTATCGTCCGGTATTAAGGAGAATAGAAATGAACACAAATTTGAAGAAACTTGATCCATTTCCTTTCTCAGGTGAGCTGTGTGAGACACCTACCATGTTGGGTCCGTTAGAAAGAGCTAAGCTCACCCATTCCATCAGAGTTATTTAGTGTCCTTGAGCTTAGCACTTTCTAACGGCTTCAGCAGAGCTGGTGTCTCTACCTCACAGCTGAGGACGGAAACAAATCTAGTTTCCGAAACGTCATGTTATTTGAAAAAAGGTAAAACTATCCCTGTAACAGGCCGTGGAGGCTCATAGGGTTGTGAGACGTCGAGGCTCCCACATTTTCTAGGCAATCGGACTGCAGATGGCAGTAAGGCTATCAACCTTACACGCCGGCCGCCCTTTACCCCCAGGAAGGTCAGGAAGGTTCCTGATTACCAATTTCTGTTACAGACATTGTCGATCCCAGGGCCACAATGCAGCTGGAAGGATTAGGTAAATTAAAAAGTCCAATGACCTCATCGGGATTCGTCGCACGACCTTCCGGCTTGTAGCATAGTGCCTCAACAAAATATATTCTTTAGCACACGGAACAAACAGCAAAGTCAAAAAACATAATAATCACGAGTAAAATGCAAGTCTTCGTCTCGTAATTTCTAAACCGAAGTCAAACCCGAATGACATTCTGAGATGGTACAAGTTACAGAGTTAGTAGAGGACAATATATTAATTTGTATTGTTAGGAATGTGGAATATGATAGCCAACATTCTGAATAACCGAATTAAATATCCCTACACCTTCGTTTACTCATGGACTTGAGCTCTTCTTGAGAAGCCGCCAAATTGAGCAGCTCCTCAAGAACTTCCCAGCATTTTATGGAACCCGAAGGTTCATTACCGTGTTCACAAGAGCCCTCCACTTGTCCCTATCCTGAGCCATATTAATCCAATCTATATTATACCATCCTATCTCTCTAAGATATATTTTAATATTGTTCACCCACCTACGTCTTTGTCTCCTTAGTGATCTCTTTCCTTCCAGTTTTCCCGCCAATATCCTATATGTATTCCTCTTCGTCCCCATTCTTGCTACATGCCCTGCCAATCTCATCATCCTTGACTTGATTATTATAATTATACTTGGAGAAGAGTACAAGTTATGAAGCTCCTCATTATGCAGTTTTCTCCAACCTCTCGTCACTTCATCTCTCTTCAGCCCTAATATTCTCCTGAACACCCTGTTCTCAAACACCCTCAGCCTGTGTTGCTCCCTTAATGTCAGAGGCCAAGTTTCACATTAGATAATGAAAATTTGGAACTCAGCAAGCGGCCTTCATTAGATAAACAGGTCAACTGGAAGTAGTTCAGTATACAGCGAGACAATATGGTTGAGTGTTCACCTGATGGTAATCGTTTTCATTGTTCTTGGATAACGACAGAAAACATTATCCAGTTGTACGGTTTTACAGGGGCGAGAGACCCATCGATCAGGTCCACTTACGTGGGCGCGCCATTAGGTTAGTTATATGCAGAAAGCGTAACGCATGAATTATGATGGGAATTATCCATTTTGTGAGGCACGTGTGCCTACAGGATATTGTCCTAGGGGCTTGTGGAAGGGGGCAGAAAATTGTGCTCACAAACTTCCATTATATTCGCAGGATTCGATGATCTCACAGCGGCGGTTATAACGGTTCTGGGATATAAGGTCGTGAAAATTAACAGACGTTTCGGAATACCGCCTGCTTTCACTCTAGTATCTTGATCGTATTATTCGACCCTGAATATGGAGGTTATAAGTTCCTCCGAAAAGTCTGTTGGTTTTCTACTGACTATAAGGCGTTATATCCAATGAGATAGTATTTTTCTTAAATTGTTTAAAATTATTTTTCCAGTCTAGAAAACGGAAATTAACGGCAGTGGAAATCCGTTGCACTGACCACGTGATACCATCTATCCGCTAAACTTGGCACTAACTTCGCCGACAAGCGGCGATCGCTCGGTCGGTATAGTTCGCTTGCGGACTACAAGCAACAGAGATTTAAAAGTATTTTTACTGATCTCCTCATAGTTGCGGCCCTGTGTGTTTACACCGTCGATTGAGCAATGTTGCAGAATAATATTAATTCTTGGTACTAATATTTGGTACACCCATACCGTATTACTTCGAATATAAGACGCATATTCTACACATTTTCTATCCCGTTGAAGAATTTAGGCGTGTCTTAATTTCGAGGAATGTCCACGTTTCTAACTTTTTCCTTCAACCCAAAATTCATAAAATTGGACGCGTCTTAAATTCTATTGTATTGTATTGTATTGTATTGGAGAGGGTGGGTTTCCCCATGCACTTAGACCAACTGTTGGTCCATTGTGCGTCCCCCTATGATATTCTACCAGTCTCTATTCCCTACCGGTACTGGTGCGTGCCATCAGTCCCGACTCAGCCAGCGAGTTCGGCCTCTACTGGCTCAGCGGTATCTCGATGCTTCCCCCATCTACCAGAGGCGTTAGAGACTACTGTTGGGCGGGAAATGTCCTGAATTTGGCTCAGTGGTCCCCTTGGGACATGAGGTTCTTTTACGTGCCGTAAAGCTACGACACGGGACCCACGGCTTAAAGTCCCTCCCGGAGGACTTGTTCTCTGAATTTTTCCGCCCTTAAAAATTCCACGACCTCCGCCGGGTTTGAACCCGCGTACTTTGAGTCACGAGGTGGGAACGTTACCCCTAGACTAGGGAGGCCGCTTGTCTTAAATTCTAAGTAATAGGTCATTTTTTCTCAATTTTATTTCCATAAATCCGGAAATGGGGACAAATGCCTATTTCGTACCCCCCTCCCTCATTCTGTGCCAATGTTCTGAGATATTTTAGTACAGGTCTGTAAAACTTTGAGTGGATTTCTTTATTCCCTTTATCAAGTGATTGATTAAGTGTCTTTATACTGACGTTGATTATTATCGATTTCTGTCACTGATATTGGTGGCAGCGTTGTCCGTATTGTGCGGGGTCACACTCACGGAGAGCTTATAAAAGTAGAAATAAAGTGTCATATATAGAATATAATTTGTGTACTGTAGAGAAATAATTTCTTTACGAAGAATTTTAATTTCGAGAAACAATACGGCACGCTGCAATACGAGCTGAATGTAATTAGGACATTTTAAACGTGAGATTAATTTAGGGGTTTTTACCTTTTATCATAGGGGTACGCGGTAGCGTAGTTGGTTGAGGCACTGTGCTACAAGCTGAATAGTCGCGGGTTTGAGTCCCTATTAGGTGGATATTTTCAATTGATCTAAATCTTTCAGCCACACTATGGCCCCGGAGTCGACTCGGGCTCTAACAGAAATGGGTACCAACAGCCTTTCTGGGGGTAAAAAGCTACAGGCTCGTAAGGCTGACAACCTCACCGCCATCTGTGAAAATATCTAGAAAATGTGGGAGCCTCGATATCTCACGCTCCTATGGGCCTTGACGGCCTGTTACAGAGTTAGCTTTAACTTTTTTACATTTTTTTACTGTTTTTGGTCAGAAGTTGCAATTCGGGCTGCCATAGAATGCACAATCTTTAGAAACAATTAGGCATACATTAACATTTTATGAAAATTTGACACCTCCAATCACTCGTCGAATTCAGAGAAGAAAATTCCGATTATGGCAGATTTTGAAACGGTGTCAGCTTAGCAGAGACCGCCTCTATGGTCTAGTGGTCAGAGTTCCCGGCTACAGATCCAGAGGTCCGTGCTCGATTTCCAGGGCTACCAGATTTTCTGAGAAGTAGTGGGTCTGGAACGGGGTCCACTCATCATCGTGAGGATAACTGAGGAGCTATTTCAAGGAAATAGAGGCTCCTGTCTAGAAAACCGAAATTAACAGCCGTGGGGATCCGTTGCGCTGACCGCGCGACACACTCTATACGCAAAAGTTGGTACTAACTTCACCGATAAGCGGCGGTCGCTCGGTCGGTATAGTTCGTTTGCGGACTAAAACCACGGAGTTTGTTTTTATTTTTTGTCAGCTTAACAGAGAGCGCTGGGAGAGCTATCCAAGCGTTTTTCAGCTTTCTGAACAAGCTCTCCAAGTTCAAAAAGTCGAATTTGGAGTCTTAAGTCCGAAAAAATTGGGACGTATGTCTAATGAGTGTTAAATTAATGTGACCGTGAGTCGGAATCTGTCATTCGTGCGGACCTATTTCGGAGAACAGATGTAGAGCCTCGGACACTGACAGCGTTGCAAAATGAACCACAGAACGAACTTCGAGATGGTAATAAAGATAACAGATATAGCATGAAAATAACCTGACACGGAACGGTGCCATGTTGCCACAATGATGCTATATATTTTATGATGTCGATAATAGAAGAGTCTCGACATTTTGAGCTAATATGGCCGTATTGCGTACCCTATAATTATTTGACCATCATATACTTCACAACAGTGGTGACACGCGTGTAGTAAACAGCTTCATGAGGATATTATTATTTCAACATGCCATTTCCGTGAATGTCATAGAGAAAACACAAAATAGAAACATATTTGTCCTTCGGTCTGTCTGGTTGACTGCAGCTGTTCAACAGACTTAGATTATATTTGAAATTTTGGGATCTACATATTTGAAACATCAACAATATGATGTTCTACCCTTAACACGGAAGTAGCAGCCCCTGAAACGTTGGTAACCACTTAAAATACTACACGGTGCTAAAACAAATAAGATTGCTCTGGAAACCCCATTTTCAAAATTATGTACCAAAAATAGATAAGACACAAACGTCCACACAGAAGGAAGACACAATACACCCTAAGGAAGGAAAAAATTGCAGCGACATACCCAAGAAAATAAGTACGAAAAAACTAGAAATTAATAACATTATCGTGAATAGTTTCTGTAATATACAGTATAACAGCGAACCGCAGGTGAAGAACAACCTACACTGCGAGACAAAAACACAAACACAACATAAAATTTTACATTCAACGACAACAGAATTTTAAATAATTTTAAATTCTGGAATATTTTAAAAGTATTAATAGCCTTGCAACTTCGTGATATGATTATGACGAACAGCACTAACATGGATCGATAATATGACACTTCAATAACAAGAGACTTATTTGATGAGACTGAATGAAGATGGCTCAAAATTGTGGACCGAAATATGTAGCAACTATCACGCGGTAGCGTAGTTGGTTGAGGCACTATGCTACAAGCCGGAAAGTCGCGGGATCGAATCTCGATGTCATTGAATTTTTTTTCAATTGACCTAATCTTTCCAGCTGCATTATGGCCCTGGGGTCGACTCAGCCTCTAACAGAGATGAGTACCAGGTAACTTCCTGAGAGGTAAAGGGCGGCCGGCGCGTGAGGCTGACAACCTTACTGCTATCTATGAGCCGATTGTCCAGAAAATGTGAGAGCCTCGACGTCTCACAACCCTGTGGGCCTCCAGGGCCTGTTACAGGGATAGCTTTACTTTTCTTTTGACCAATCACCAACGAAGTAGCCGGTATCGCTCTAAGCTTGTTTTCGAGAGGCACTTGGTTCAAATCTCTGCCGCAACATTGACTATCATGACTGAAGGCTTTCGCAGTTTTACTCGGTCTCTCCAAGCAAATTTGGAATAGTATCATGATTACGTCACGAACTCTTCCGGTCTAGTTCATCAGACATGAGAATTTTTTCTTTTTAATAATTTTGCCTGTGATTCTGTGTGGGTGTGAAACCTGGTCTCTGACATTAAGGGAGGAACATAAGCTAAGGGTGTTTGAGAACAGGATGTTGAGGAGAATATTTGGACCGAAGAGAGATGGAGTGACAGGAGGTTGGAGAAAACTGCATAATGAGGAGCTTCATAACTTCTACCTTTCTCCAAGTATAATTAGAATGATGAAGTCAAGGAAGATGAGATGGGCAGGGCATGTAGAACGAATGGGGGGGAAGAGGAGTGCATATAGGATATTGGTGGGAAAGCCAGAAGGAAGGAGGCCACAGGGAAAACTAACAACTAGGCGGGTGAACAATATTAAAATGGACCTTAGAGAGATAGGATGGGATGGTATAGATTGGATTGATCCGGCTCAGGATAGGGACCAGTGGAGGGCTCTTGCGAACACCGAAATAAACCTTGTGGTTCCATAAAATGCTGGGAAATTCTTGAGTAGCTGTACAATTGGTAGCTTCTCAAGAAGGGCTCAGCTCAATGAGTGATCATTTCTTAGGTTATATCTACCAAATTTAATGTAATGGAATTCAGTATGGCAGAATTTAAGAATAAAAATGCTTCACTAATTACATGTTCATTAATCTGTGATCGCTCTAGCGTTACGATAAAGATATAAAGATTCATCTGAAGGCAAATTATTCTGTCTTACTGTATGATTTGTTCTCCAACAAGTACTCACGTTCTTTATCTCTTTAGCGACCAATGCAGGGAAGCCAAACCAGCCCAGACCAATCCCTGCTACCAAGACAATGACTCCCGAGACACTGGTACCAATGATTACGGTGCTGATGTGCCTCATGGTGTGAACTTCACCTTGTGAGCGCCACACTACAACTGTCAACAAACGTGTCGTGTCACTTGCAGCCACGAATAGCGTTCTGCATCAACAGAGCAACCGTTGTCATGGCGACACTATGTGCTAGCTACGAACTGATGTCACAATCAAATTACACGCACTTTAACTGCTTTTGTGGCATGACGAATTGTTGTGTCTTCTTTGTATAAAGTGCATACAACGAATTCATAATATGGAGGTCTGTACACGTCCATTCTTCGATGCTCCATCTCAAACTACTCGCATATGTAGTGAAATAGATATAAGGTTCTCACTATTTGAATCCTTCGAGCAAAATCCTTCTTGAGAGGCTGATATTTGATTGATATTGTATTTCAGCATCCTGTTAACCCCGTAGGCTGTTGGTTAGAACATAACTTAGCTTATATTTTCATATATACTCGTATTTACCACCAGTTTCGGTCACGTGTTCAACATTAGATTTATATGCTAATTCGTAGAAATTTCTATATTGTATTCAAATACGAGGCTAATTCGGAAAGTATTTTTTATTGCTAGTGGGGTGGGACTAAGTCCCTTGTACTGCGGCCACTTCTGGCCTATTGTACCAGCTCCAGATGATAGGTGAGGGTGATTGTGGAGCAACTGGTGGAATGAAGATTGGCAGGGGAAACCGAAGTACTCGGAGAAAACCTGCCCCAGCGCCACTTTCTCCATCACAAATCCCACTTGACTAGACCCGAGATCGAACCCTGGCTACCGCGGTGGGAAGCCAGTAACTAACCGCTTGAGCTATGGCGCGGCCCTTGACACAGGCTTACAAAACTTCTTCCTCGAGAAGACAAGTGTCTTAATTCCGGCGGTGGTTATGTCGAGAAATCGCTTAAGTATGTAAGTATTTTTATATATAACAACTTTTTTCCATTGCTTTCTTTTTAACAGCTCACCGGAGGTTACTTTCCGAATAACACTTGTATTTCATGGGCATGCAAAATGTGTAAGTTTAAACGTCTATTTTTAAATCCCTTTATATTATGGTCTTATATTGAGGTTTGCAATAATAAAATACAGTTCTATTTTAATGTCACTCTTCCATCCACACCTAGTTCTTTCAAATGGTCTCCATTCTTCATATTTTCTTACTAAAGAAATGTTCATGTAGTAAACATAATAGTTTTCTGCTGATTAATTTCAAGACACTGTTAGTTGCAGTCTGTTAATGTTGAAGATCCACACGAAATAAAAATTCCTTTTAGGCGAAATAATAAGAACGGGCTGTGGTTCCAATTATTTACTTTTGTAATTTGTATTTAATTTCATATTTATTTGAGCTCGTGATAATTCACGGGTGTTTAGTTAGGATAAATTAATATATTTAACTTTAGAGAGATTTACTACTTTGTTACTTACTAACGAAGCTGAGCCCTTCTTGAGGAGCCGCAAATTCTGCAGCTACTCAAGAACTTCCCAGCATTTTATGGAACCCGAAGGTTTATTACCGTGTTCACAAGAGCCCTCCACTGGTCCCTATCATGAGTCAGATCAATCCAATCCACACCATTCCATCCTATCTCTCTAAGATCCATTTTAGTAATGTCCACCCACATACGCCTTGGTCTTCCCAGTGGACTCTTTCCTTCCGGACTACTTTGTACATAAATTATTTATTGTTTTGGGGTCTTATTATGAGTTAATGTATTGATCTTAACTGTATTAATTTTAGTAATAGAGACGCAAGTAGAATGATAGATAGGTATTAACGTTTTTGAAGAACATATTTCTCTCAAATTCATGGTAGAACAAGTGCGCGATATTTTATCTTGAAGACGGAGGCATAAGGTCCCTTCGAAATGTTGCTACCTATCTACCAGATCACAAGGCGCCATCAGCTGAAGACCGTCTTCTTAACAGTAAAATTATTATTTGGATTTTTTTTTTAATTTGGGGGTGTGTCTACTGTTGACATTTGTTAGTTATAGCTAAACTCCTTATTGTATATGTCACACAAATACAATTTTATCAGTTTTCTTTAAGATGATTTAATAATCGTAAACTACACTGCACATATATTAAAGCATGACTATGATTAAGCTCCACAAATTTTGTGTGAATTACGTGGTGAATATTAAAGATACACGAGGAAAATTTTGTAAGATTTATTGTCTTAGGTATGTCCGTAGTTTTGTGTGGGTGTGAAACTTGGTCTCTCACTTTGATGGAAGAATACAGACTGAGAATATCTGAGACAGGGTGCTGAGGATAATGCTGCGACGTAATGAAGTAACAGACGAACTGAGAAAACTGCATAATAAAGAATTTCGTGATGTGTAAGCTAAAGCTAACAGTAAAGCTATCCCTGTATCAAGCCGTGAAGGCCCATAGTGCTGTGAGACATCGAGGCTGCCACATTTTTCTACATTCTGCTCACAGATGGCGGTGAGATTGTCAGCCTTACGCGCCGGGGGCCATTTAACCCCAGGAAGATTCATGGTACTCATTTCTGTTAGATCCTGAGTCGACCTCAGGGCCATAGTGCGGCTGGAAGGTGTAGGTAAATTAAAAAATTCAATTACATCATCGGGAATCGAACCCGCGACCTTCCGGTTTGTTGTATAGTGCTTCAACAAGCTATGCTACCGCGTGTCCCTTAATAATTTGCAATCCTCGGACAATATGACTACCATAATCAACTCAGGGAAGACGAGATGGGTGAGGCATGTATCACGCATGGGAGAGTAGGAATAAACACATTTTTTTTTGTAGTAAATCCTGAAGGCAAGAGAATACAGAAAACCTGGGGGTTTATGGGAGAATAATATTAAGAAAGATTTTAGAAAATTTGAATGATACGGCGTGGATTGAATTTATCTAGCTCAGGATATGGATCGTTGGCTGTCTGTTATGAACACGACAATGAGACTTCGGGTTTTATAAAATTCTGGGAAGTTCTTGAGTAAGTGAATAACAATTAAGTTCTGGAAACCTGATAGTTGATGTAATGAGTAGGCTTGGGATGGACGACCGGGAAATCGAAGTTCTTCTCCCGGAAGGGGCAACAGATTCTACTTACAGTCAGTTCATCCAGACCGGTTGTGGGCCTCACCAAACCTCCTACACAGGGGGTAATGGGGGGGGGGAACTTCTGCAGGGATAAAGCGGTCAGGCGTGAATGTGACCAGTCACCTTCAATTTATTCCAAGGTTAAGAAAGCGTAGGGTTACACCTCCAATCGATTCATTTGATTCAGGATAAGGATTAGTGACAGACTGTTGTGAACATGGTAATGAAATCAAGAGGTTCATTGAAAAAAACGGAAATTTTTTGGATGGCTGAGTGACTGTTAGCTTCTCAAGAAGGATTATACTTAGTGGAGTTAGGTGATTTTTTTTTTTCACTGACAGAAATCGTTGAGAAAATCATGGCATATTGCATTAATATCGCCACACATTAAATTTATCTTTCACATTAGCATGCGAGCAACAGATCAATGCACATGAAATTAGTGTCTCATGCACACCGTCCACGATGTTATACATATGACGTAGAACATGCATTGGAAAAAGGAAGTTTTTGATTGCTGAATTCCCCAGAAACACGTCGCCTGTTTTCAAAACTAGGAGTTTCATTTCGAAAGTAGGCGACTTTTGATAGCTTTAACACCATGTTCTTCAAGTAGTCTAAAAATGGTGGTAAAGGTCAAACTGTCCCAGGGCTTAATTAATTAAGCACTATTATTTTTTATTGCTACTGGGGTGGGACTAAGTCCCTTGTACTGCGGCCACTTCTGGGCTATGCTGCCAACCCCAGATGATAGTTGAGGGTGATTGTGGAGCAATTGGTGGAATGAAGATTAGCAGGGGAAACAGAAGTACTCGGAGAAAACCTCCCCCGGCGCCACTTTGTCTACCATAATTCCAACTTGACCTGATCGAACCCGGGCCGCCGCGGTGGAGAGCCAGCGACTAACCGCTTGAGCTATGGCGCGGCCAATTACGCACTATGACATGAAGGCGTATTTTGAAGCGACGGTATAGCTTCGTACATTCTCAAACTCGACAATAGATGTAGATGAGTGGACAGCTTCACGGCCCCGCCGTTTTACTATCAGGGAAAGAGCCCCCGATACCCATTGGTGATGAGGCTGCGTGGGCCCCAGGGCCAGTCTGGATGCTGAGAAGAGATACATTTCTTGCCCCCGTGAGGAACCGAGTCCTTATTCCTCGGCTGTCCAGCCCGTAGCCCATAGCTCTATAACAGTAAACATGAAATATCCTCACGAGTTGGGCTAGTAAAGCACGAAGCGTGAGGCACATGCCTCATTCCTAATGCTAAAATCTGACGCTATAATAATGATTTGTATGGTATGATATTGTAACATGTAGTCGTTGTTATGTAATAGAGCTAATCAATAAACGGCCGTTTATTGGTAACGGCCTGTAAACACGTTTTCGCGGAAACGAACACGCACGCAAAAATATAAGGACAGCGTTTTCTGTTGAGTCCACCCTGAAGCTATAGTATAACGAGGACCCAAGGCCAGCTAATACTAATTGAGCTAGTTGAGAGTTTAAACTCAACCACTAAAGAGAAGACTAGGAGTATGATGTGAAATGGCCGCCAGCCTGCTAACTGAGAATAGATGGCGAGTCAGTTGAGGGTTGGCAGTGCAGTTATGCTCGGCAAGCTGAAAAATCTCCATTGTTAGAAGCCGCTGCCAGGGAACAGCTCTTAAAGGCAAAGCAGGCTGGAAAATTCTAAGCGGTTGCTGTGGTGATCTGTCAAGTGTGGAAACTAGCGGTAGCACTGTAATTACCCGTAGTTCCGAGTCGAGTCAATAAATCCAATATTCAATCCATACTCGGTATACATGCACACACCCTTAAATGGTAACAATATAACAGTTTAATTTCATAGTAATCGTTAATGATTTTCTAATAATTTATAAATTTACACAGACTAATAAATTTAATCAGAGTACGAAACCCAGTAACATTCTGTCCAACGTTCAAAACAGTAAAAATAAAAAGTTTCGCCAGAATTGATGGATTATGTATGGTCTGCAAATGATCTACGAGCCAGAAACACGTGACCACGTCATTGTATACTATTAACAATAATAGTGTAG